CATTTCTATATTACTGTCAGTCCCGTTAACGGACTGGCATGCTCAGAATTGGACGATTTGAATTTCGGAATAGTCTCTGCTCTCAAGAGAAATCTTAAAGTGCCCTTTTTTGCCCTTAAGAAATGACTTGGTGATTGGACTTTTGTCACTTTTACTTCTCAGATCTGATATAATCACGTTTTAGATTGGAGTTGGCCTCCTGCTGCTGCAGCGATCGGCAGTCGCTTTGTTCATTTAGAATTTTTAAGGGTGCGTCATTTCTGGAGGACGGTTCTTAGATTTTTCTAATATTTGTGTTGTATATTGATAATGTATTTGTGTTTTCGAAACTACATGGGGATCAGAAGATTCTAATAAGGTCTTAAAGCTGCACTACGATGCAGTTTTGCAGGGAGTCAAATATGAATCAGTTCAGAACACCTAAGCCATTTTTTTCCCTCTCCTCTCTAAGTCACGAGTGTTAATTTTTTGCTTTAGCCTCCAGCCGGGAAATATTCGGTCCAGATATCCGTGTTTCACACCGTTATCCGGTACTAATGCCAGAACCCTGGCTGACGGCTCAATAAAATCTCACACATAATTCAAAATATGATTATTTTATCAATTATAGAGCTCCAGAGGTGTTTTCGAGAGGAAAACAAATGTGTGTACACAGATTCCTGATCATGCTAAAGATTTTTTTCTCCTCCATTCCTATAGAGGGCAACAAACATCTGTGGTTTGAAGATAACGACAACCCACAGCTGATGACACCCTCAGTATTGCTGCCTTTATTGCTTGTTTGTTCTTTGAATTTATCGTCAGAGCTACCAGCAACAAGTTTCACTTGTGAAATTGAGACAAAAACTAGTCCAGGCCGTCATCTTCGCGCAGCAGACTTGTGTCTTATTAGCTTGGGGACACAGAAACGTATCGTTATTTTCTGAATGTTCTCCGGGATAGTTGAATACTTTTTCACAAATAGAAACTTTGCTGCCGGCTTTGTTGTTTCATTAGAATTGTGAGGCTAAACCAAAATCCAATGACTTGCATGTCACTGAATCCCTACATTTAAATGGAGACCATGAAAAGACAACATATCTTATGTTAAAGCTTCTGGGAAGCATTTAGCCTTTTGGATTTCTGTATAATATAGGTATTTACTACCCTGTCCTGAATGAATGTCTAATGGAAAGAAAATGAATATGTGCATTTGTCCACTTTTCAAAAATGCCTTAGTGCCACAATTCATAGCTGAGAATAGACAGATGATAACATATCCATAGGCTCTTCTTTTCTGTTGGGAAGCATTTGTTTGACACATAATCTCCTTCTCTGTATAATTTGTAACATACAGACCCAACCACAAACATTAATTCTCACATCAACTATGTACTTTCTGCACAAGTACGAGTGATCGTGATGTGGAAATTTAGGAAACTGCTAGTGAGAGATAAGTGGATGAGTGCTGTAACTGTGAAAAACTTGAGTCTCAAACCAGAGGATTACTGTGAATGTACCCAGATTATGACCTTTTGGCATGTTGCTCCTCCCTTTTTTTTACTTTAACACCAGAGAATTTTGGCAATTGCTTTGCTATTTAGCTTCTGCAAGTGTACTAGGCTACAACGCAGTCGTCGTAAAGGCAAATCTCTGTTTAAGCCCTGCACATGCAGGGCTGTACACATGAATTTGTATTCATTTTAAAGAATCAACGGGAATGCCATCAAAAGCCCAGAAAGGCCAATCAGAGCCCTGGAGTGCTGAGTTGGAACACATATAGAGATGTAAAACACTGAAATAGGGACAAATCAAAGCTTATACCGTATCTCTAGGGAATGGATATGGAAAATATCTGGAATAGGGTATGGAATTTTTTTTATTTTTTATGAACCAGTGGTATCATTCATCCTGTCATGAAACTTAACTTAAAATTAAAAAGTGTTTAAAAGGTCATTAGGATAAAGAGAGAGATTTAAAATAATTAATTTGGTGTGTTCTTTTACTTTACTATTATCTTTTTTTTTTTTTTTAAATATGGGATGGAAATCATTTGCAAGTTGTTGTATAGTGCTTTTTTTTCTTCCTAAAACGGCATCCCAACGTGCTTTTATAAACTGGAGGATTCCAATTTATTTTAACCTCAAAGTAACAGCATCCATCTTCAAGTCATCAACTTATCCTCTCTGCTGACAGGCAAATATTTCATTCTCGTGAGACAGAACTGTTGTAGCTCAAAAAATCCAGACAAGGCTGAATGTTTATGTTCTTGTGGTTTTTTGCAGATTTATTAGGTGTAATCTGACTTTTTAAATTAGCTCTTTATTCATGTTTTTCTTGCACAGTTTAGCGCCTGAGCATGTGCAGTGGAGGTAATATGTGTCATTAAATGTGATCACCACAATCCTGCTGGAGGCAAGTTGAGCAGTGAGAGGACTAATGCTGTCACCCATTAATGTTGCAGCTTTGAGAAAACCCTGCTCACTCTATTTTTTTTTTTTGTATAAAATCCAATCAATGGTGCTAGACTCCGCCAAGCCTGAGAGTAAGTTTTTCTGCATGCATGATTCATTTTAATACTTTACTTTCACTCCCAGAAGCATGAAATACTAAATGATCACCACCTTTTGAGACCCATATTCACCTATCCTAGTCTTTTACCTTTAATTTTCCTTCTTTTTTCCCTCCTCTCTGCTGTATCCTGTTACTGTGTGCTGCTGCAATAATCAATAAAGTTTAATTTCATCTGATGCACCTCTGCTCCCTCATCTTCTCTAGTCAAATGTGCCCGCAGATCATGTTACTGTGCAGTAGTGGGTGTCGAAGGCATCTAACCTGTTCGCTGCTGCAGTGATTTCATAAGATGGCTGGATGGAAACTGAGCTTATCACTCAGCCGGTGTAAAATGACAAAGACACATCATGTGTAGCAGCGGCCCGACAAAAAAAATCTCTTAAGTTCGTTTCACAGAGAAGAAAAACTGAGAATATCAGAGAGAAAACCAGGGATGAAGGTCAGCCACTAGTGGGAGGATAAGTGTCAGTCGCCATGGGTTCTGGCCCCTCCTCGCCCGTTGCTATGGCTACCTGGCATGTTGTAGGGCTCCACAGCGGCGAGCAGGAGCAGCTCTGGGCTCGGCAAATCATCATGCGGCGCAAAGGTTGCACTCTGCCATGCACAAAGGTCATTATTAGATTTTAGTAAATGGTATTAGGAGAAGAGGAGCTGGTGAGTGGAGGGAGGGAGGGAAGTGAGTCAGTTAAGGGGGCTAAAATTTGCAACCGATTTTGTCTTTTGTTCACAAGTCCATAAAAAAAAATCAAAAATCCATTTGACCGCTTTAACTCTTGCATTATTTAGATCTTGACCTAACCTAGGTTGCTTTTGCTTCTTGTGAGTCAGGCTCAGATTGACAAGTGTTACGTAAGTCAAACATGCCACAAATCATTTGTGATTTGGGTCACAGCTTGTGTTGCTTTGGCCAGATGAGGCCGAATTGACACACTTCAAAATTTTTCAAAAGAGACTTTTTTAGGCTCTAACTGAGAGTTAGGTCTTGTTGAGATTTGGGTTTAACATTAATCCCATGTGATCCATTTCCTGGTAGACTAATTACAATTGGGAACACCATTTTAGGTCATACTCAAATATTCTCACTTCTCAAATCATCTCACTGTGGAGGTTTTGTTTGACTTTGCTTGTTCATAGTTAACAAACCCAGAGTCTGTGTAATGCCAGCATGCAGTTAACATGCAGCATAATGTGTTTTATGCAATCATTCTCGTGCTCTATTACAAAGAGATACAGCTTTGCCTTTAACAGTCTGTGTGTAACGGGCCAAAAGGAGCCTCTAATTTGACATGAGAGTGAAGAAAAAGTATTTTAGCCTCTCTATTTGTATCTTTGTTATAAGGCCCATTGCACATAATCATTAGTGTTCCCTGTTAGGGCCCACAAGTGATAGATTAAAATGCCCAGCAGTCTAGAAAGTCATTACATTTAGATTGTGTCGCAACAGTTAAATAATGTATGCAAAATTACAATCCAAAAATGTGATATGATGTATGAACAAATTTACCCTTCTACATTTTGATTACTGATGAATTCGATGAAATTAGGAATTGCTGTGCTTTTAATACCTTTGGATGGGCAATATTTATTATCACTTTTACCATACTGTGATATTCTTCTGTCACGTATTCAAAGAATATGTTTGTATGATATTTCTTCCATGAAAAGAAGATAGCTGATAGAAGATGTTGCCTGTTTAGGTTGAAAATATTGCCATACAGTATTAGGGAAATATTTGGACATTAATTTTTTATCTACATATTAACTCAAACATTTGAGTATTTAATGCCCCCTGCTGGTGCAGTTGAGCTCTAACAAAAAAATCCTTTCCACATCCCCACTGTCATCTACATTATTCAGTTCACCTTAAAACTGAAAAGAAAAATACATTTGCATGATAAATATCTCTAATTCACTGGAATTTAATGATAAACTCCCCCATTTACTCCACTAGTCCACTGTTTTTGCATATTTGATCAAAACCTTGCCTGTTTTCCCTTGGTGGACTTTGAATGGAAAGTACAAAAAAGTATTAATATTACCCAGTGCAAGCTTAATTAGCTTCGTACAAGTTGATCCAAACTGAAAAAGAGAAAAATATATCCTCTTTCATTAGTTATCATTTTGTAAAATAATGATTTAGGTTATGTGTCATCTGTGTTTTTATTCCACAATTCAGTTTTTATTCAGCAATGAACCCACACAGACAAGCTTCTTTATTTTTTACTTCCTGGAAAATGTCAAGCTATACGTAAAGCTCTATAGTTTATTTGTTTTTTTTCAAGGAGGTTTCAATATATGTTCATGTTTTTGTTTGTATGACAAATGTGTTCAGATGTTTCTTTTGCGGAAATAAACTGATATTTTAGACATTTACTTTGTGACTATCAGGAAATGTCGTGTTGCATTATGGGAAACTTGACGTCGTTCACGCAGAAGGGGGCGTGTTGTTAGCGTTTAGCTACTCTGCTAACTGCGAAATAAACTTTCACTTTCTAGTAAACCCGGGAATGCTCTCAATTGGGAGAGCAACATTTCCAGAAAACCGAAACCATTGGCAGCTACAGTTCTGTGTGACAGCACTTGAGTCACAGATGCCGGTTTTCATCACATTGCAGTGGCTTTATCAGTAGTGTTTATCTTTGGCGTGTAAAAGTTTTGCTGACCGTTTAAATAGTATTTTCACTAGCTAGCTAGCGCAGCTAGCCCCGCTAGCATGGAGAGCGGCGGAAACAGGCAGAGAAATGAGGAGAGGAGTGCGGAGAAGTTGATGGATAATTACCTAAAATCAATTGGTCTGCATCGGAAGAAGATAGCCAAAGATGGGTCGTGCTTGTTTCGGGCTGTTGCTGAACAGGTAAAGTGCGAAACTAAGTAGAAAAGTCTTGCGTAAAGATGTTCCCTAGCTAGCTAATTGTCACAGGTGAAGAGATGGGGTTGGTCCGGTTGTTGTGCTAATGCGCGCTAGCAAGCTTTGAGTCAACATTCTACAATTGTAAGCCTTGACACGCTTTAAAATGGAATGTTTCCTAAAGAGTGTAAGCCTATCATTTGGATTTTATGTTTGTTTAGACTACTGACTATGTATTTACGTTAAGTAAGTTAAATGTAATTCACTTTGGTATGTTAGGAGTGTCCTCTGCTGTTTCTGATGATGCTACATTTGACCCCCTGGTAGGTGCTGCATTGCCAAAGCCTTCATACTGAAGTTCGGGCCAAATGTGTGGAGTTTCTGAAGCAAAACAGAGACAGCTATGAGGCGGTATGTACGGCCTGCGCACTTAAACCAAAAACGTTTTTTTGTTTTGTTTTTTACAGGAGCAATTTTTAGCTATTTTCTGGTTAGTTTGTTTACAAATGGTCACACCAGTGAATGGAGCCGTTTCTTGTAATTTGGGGGGAAATGTCAAAGGAGAAGGGTTTTATTGCTCTCCTCTACAGAGTTTTATAGCTCTGATGGTTAAATGGGTGTGCTTCTTTTTCTCTTCTTTTTTATAACCTGATAAAGCTTTTTGTTAACATGCCATCATAAATGTGGACGCTAACTTTCCATGCACTGTATTGGACAGAGCCCCACACTTAAAGAAACACTAAAGAAAATAATGCAGCAGTCTAAAGAACAATTTTTATTTTTGTGCTATCCGTCCTCATGGTTACCACTTTTTTTTAAATGCATTAAAGTATTTTTTTAATATTCACATAAGATATTTAACAATGATACATGATTACTTTGTGTGATTCGAAGTTCCCATTAAAATAAAACATGTAGATTAGTTCTTTGTAAAACCTTCAGCAAAGTGCAACTGTTGCTGAAGGCTTTGAAGCTCTTGTTGATTTAATGGGGCTGCAAGAAATGTCAAAGTTGTAGATGATGTAGTGAGGGATGAAGATGCAAGTTTTGGTTTCATGTTTAGGTAACATAAAGAAACAGGAACTTAAAGTGAAAATAGTCTTTGCTTTTGATGACAGTGACATTCCCACTTTGAAGCAGTGCTTTACTGCATTTCCCAGTATGCTTCTTGGGTTTTTTCAGGTCATGGCTGTGAGCCAGCTGCCTTCAGCCTGTTGGGAGCTCACAGGTGGTTACATGTGACTCATGGACTGCTTTTAGACGACAGCCTTGTTTACCTGCTGTCATTTCTGCATCCATCTCTTCGTTAAAGGAGATTAGGTTTATCAGGCAGTGTCGCGTTCGAAACGTTTACAGATATTGGTCATCTCAGTTTTAAAATTTTTTTTGAAATGCTGCAGATTTGATTGAGATTTGAGCCAAAGCAAATTATCGCGTTGTTCATAAAGGTTTTGTTCTTGGTTGACTTGTTTGTTCAGGACTGGATGCTAAACTTTGCACATGCTCATCAGCTGTTACGAAGTCAGTTCAGTGTTGAGTCAAATTTGACAATAATGTTTTTTAGACGTTACAAAGTTTGTCCAACATTCATAGTTAGTTTAATTTGAATAGTCAGATCATGAGAGGAATGACTGATCTGATATTTAAGTAATATAACAATAAAGAACACTGTAATTTTGCTTTGTAAACGTGCACGCTGACTTTTGATGTACATCAAAAATCTGTCACAGTTTATCGAGGGCGACTTTGAGGAGTACCTATGCAAGCTCCAGGATCCACAGGTAAGAATCTCCTTGATTTTGAGAGTTTATTGGAGGAAGTACTAAAACCAGATGGTAATGATGTTGTGTTTTTTAGCAATGGGTGGGAGAAGTTGAGATGAACGCACTGGCTGTCATGTACAAGTAAGTTAAACATCTTCACTGATGCCATAATTTCTATTTAAAAAAATAATAATTTGAACTGTGTTTTTTATGTGACTTTTTTAACATCACATGTTCATATGAAGAATCCTTTGATTTTCTTACATATCTGTAAAGGCTTCATCATCAATTAAGTCCCTCTCGTTGTTTTGTTTTGCCGTAGGAGAGATTTTCAGATCTTTCAGGAGCCGGGCCGACCACCTGTCAACATTACAGACAACAAGTTCAAGGACAAGGTGAGAGGGAGAGCATCCTTCATTCCACACAAATGTGATGGGAATGGGATATGATGTGATGTATCTTCTGTCTGGCTGGATCCTAAAATGTTCTGTTGTCTGGCTAATGTCAAAACCAGGGCCATCAAATAGTCTTTAAAACAAATGTTTCCATCTTAATATCAGTAATCTTTATGCACGATTACCAGGTTCATCTCTTTGGGGTGTAACTCATTATTGTCTTTATATTCAGATCTGAGAACTGTAAATAAATATAAAAAATGTAAAAAGGTGTAAAATATCAGGAAACAAAAGTGAATTGTTACATTGACATTTGTACTTTAGCCTTTGCCTTTGGTTCTCTCTTTCAGGTGCAGTTGTGTTTCCTTAATGGAAATCACTACGACAGTGTTTATCCCATCAGCAGCATTAAGAGCGCCGCGCTGTGCCAGTGTGAGTGCAGAACCCACATCTGTTACAGACTCCTGACCTCTTTGTGCAGAGCGTAAAGAGGATGAAGAATTCCCTGAAATGTGTTGCTAGTATTTTGAATGGAAAATTTAGCACTTCAACAGAAGATTGTTTTTCTTTTTTTAATGTAGCAATATTTTATTCCCAGAAATTAGTGTACAACTGTAGATTTTATACACTTTTTAAGTTGAGCATTAATGAGGATTAAAGGAAAGATTTTGAACTTGGCCACCCACATTTTAAAAAGGAAGAAGAAGAAGAAGAAATTCTGTCATGTGAGGTATGCCTCACATGCGATGCAGGGAGCGGCACCAATTATCTTAGAAACGCAAACCAAAATGAGGCCCTTCATGTCTTAACATGACACATCAAATAAAAAATAAAAATAAATAAAGGACTAAATAGTGCAGCATCAGAAATGTGGAAACTTAAATCAAAGGGTGCCAAAATGATTTAAACATAAAATAGCATCAGTTTCAGAAAACTCAGGGACAGTTTGCCACATTTCATAACATTTGCTCTGAGTGCTGTGACGAGTGGAGCGTTTGCCGTGTGAACGAGTCGTCTTGAATTTGATCCTCTGCAGCCATCCTGTACGAGCTGCTGTATGACAGCGTGTTTAAGGTGGACCAGAGCTCTCTGGGCCTGTGTCAGCGCGTGGGCCGATCGTCCGACTTCCTGAGTGACGACAACATGCCCGCCTGCGGGAGCAGCGACGAGTCGGACGTGGACACGGACGAGCCGCTGTGGTAGGAGGCGTGACCACTGTAAATCATTTCTGCTGGGGTCCAAAGCTGGCGTTTTTTAGGCTACACCGAAGCTGGGAATTATTGTTGGTATTTTAAAATAAGTCATTTTAAACGTTTTTAAAAAATGAACACAATGAACTACAAACAATCCCGAAAAATGAAACAGAACAAAATGATGGACTGTAAGAAGGTGAGCAGAAATAATTTCAGGCAAATGTTCCTGAAATGCAAACCTGTGAAAACTCAATGTTGAACAATCAAGGGATTCAGAGAATCTAAGGACGTTTCTGTAAGAGAAGTAAAAATGGCTGAAAGTGACTAAGTCACTGCATTTGAAAATGGATGGGAAACCACATCATGGGATCTGGAACGCTTCCAAAGATCTCACTACCATCCACAAATTGCAGACTGACGCTCCAGCTGTTCTGTACACTTTCCACATTTATAGTCTTTTGTAGAGAGAAAGAGGAATGCTGAACTTTTTTGGGGCTTTTTTTTCTCCATCAAGTGACATTTGGGGTTTGTCATTAAAATAGGCAGGCTTTTTTCCTAACTATCCTGCAAGCTTAATGAATGTGAATTGAATTTCTTTTAATGGTTTGCCTTCAAACAGCTTGAAACAGATCATCACAGATGTGTTTTGTGATGCAGGGTGGAAACTGAAGCGACTCCCTTCAGACACAACCAGAGCTACAGGGTAACCGAGCACAGAAAAACCTCTACACGCCCAAACATTCCTGCTTAACCACAACAGTGTTTATACTCTGTTTGTGCGTGTGTGTTTTCTTTCAGGGCCGCGGCCGCGGCCGGCAGCTTCCAGAGAGGGCGAGGCGATCTCTAAATCCGACTTTGCTTAGAAATATCGAGTACGACGTCTGGCTAAAGAGCAAAAGAGGTAAGAGAGAGGCACCTAGAAATAAAAAGAGACAGTTTGTGTGTCATACTATTTATCAATGTATTCAAAACAAACTTTTGAAAGATGTTTTCTGAAAAAAATGTCAGAGGTGATCGGCACAGCCCCACCAACACACACACACATCTCTTCAAAGGGCGACTTAAACATGAGGCATTAGCAACAATGTACTTAATGTTATATCCAGTCACTATAGTTTACTTTAAACAGTCCAAGTTGATCTTCTTTCACTAAGAGGCCGAAATAACAGGTAAACCAAATGAACTCAACACTTTAAATACCCAGTACCCAGTACCTCGTGCTCAGCCCAGGAGAGGATTCCTCCCAGAAATGAAACCAAAGTGTCTATCGGCCATCTGGACGCCTGATAACATTATTTAAAACCAGTCTGATTGGTTCACCAGGAAGAGGAGACTTGCTTTTCATCGGCCTGACATCAGATACTTGGATTGAGAAAAAAGCTCAGTTACTCACGGGTGCTCATGCAGTTGTCATGGAAGTAGTGGCAGTCGGGAGAGGGTTTTTTGATGGGGACTCACTACCACATCTGTTCGGCACCTGATCGCCGCTGTGGTTATGGGAGCATCTGGGAGTTATGCACGTTTAAAAACCAGCACGTTGCACGGATCCTGTTTTATGGTTTGAAAGTCATGATGATGAAGATGATGGAAGACGGGCTTCAACCAATAAACACAAACCAGATCCTATCTCGAGTTAGTCACACATATGCCTTTTAGACTGACACACTGATGTGGATGGATAAAAACCAGCTCATTTCAAGCCGGCCCTTTGTCTTTTCTAGCCCAGCAGAAAATCGACTACGGCATTGCCGCGGGGATGCAGTTCACCGTGGGAGATCGCTGCCAGGTGCGTTTATTGTGTCTCAATTTAACACAAATGTGCCCCTGTACTCATCTCAAATAAGTGATTTTGTGCGTCCCCTGTAGGTGCGTGAGGGAGGGCGCAGCTACAACGCCACCATCAAAGAGGTGCCTCCCGGCAACGGCCTGGTGACGGTCCACATAGAAGACTTGGGCAAGAAGTAGGTGGCTTTGCTGAAGGCGCCTTGTTCGCCAGCGGTTGGCCGTGCACGCTTCTCACCGGGTGGTTTTGTGCGCAGACAGGTCCCTCTGTGGAGCCTCCGCTCCCCCGGCGAGGAGAGCAGCTGGTGCACCGTGGTCAGCCGCGACAGGAAGCTCAGCAACGGGCACGGAGGTGGAGCCCGCACGCCCATCAGCTGAACCGCACCAGGCGGTCCACGCAGAGCGCCAACTGAGAGGCCTGTCTCTTTCAGAGTGGGAGGAGAGGGGGAGAGGGAGAGGGAGAGGCAAACTCAACCCAGCGCCCTCCTCCGTTTCCAAGGAAACAGCAGGGGGATCCAGTGGGCGCGTACAGAAGCAGAATTCATGGCCTCCCCAGGCCTCTGTAGAGGGTCAGGCGGGGGGGAAAACCATCAGGTCAGTGTGTGTTGATAGTACTTAGCTGGATCTAAGAGTTGTTCTTATCAATATTGTTGCTCAAAGTGATAAACCTTTATTCGAGCTGACTCTCAATTTTTTATTATTACATATTTGAGCTATTTCATGGTTATCTGTGTAAGGATGAGTGGGTTGAGCCCAAAATAAGAGCGGACAGGGAATATTAACCAGCTGAACTAGTGTTAACTTGTCAACATTTGCATTTCAATCAAATATTTTTAAGTAGATTTTTCAGAATAAGCAAAATGTATGAATTGTATGGATTTATTCATTGAAGTGCAAAGGCCTCTGTGTAGACGTGTACACGATGCGTTTTTATTCTCTACAAGATGTGCGTTTTTCTACAGGAAGTCGCTCAGCACAACCGAGTCCGCCCTCGGTCCGACCGAGATTCCGAATTTGGCCGAAGAGGAGGAGATTGTGGAGGATTTGGAGATGCAGCTCAAAGACGATCAGAGCTTCCCCGCACTCGGGGTGAGTTAAGATAAACTTTAAGGATCACCAGCAGGTACAGTTGTACGGATACAAATCAGATTTCTTTGTTAGTGGCCTATGTCCACAGACATAAACCAGGTTTCAATGTTCAACAATACGTTTAGATTACTATGTCAGAATGAAAACAAAAGAATAAAGACTTGGAGATTGGAGAGATATGTACATACTCTGACTGCGGAGTAAAACGACTAATCCAGATAAGAGACAGGCCGCTAGCTGGTTTTAGCTACTCTGATACGTAAAATGGTTTCCACCAGACAAAAGAAGCGGCAGCTTTTTTTATGCTCATGGAGTACATTTTTATTTGATTTAATCCCTTGAATCTGATTTTGCCCCTCAGACTCAGCCAGTAATGCAGTATGAAGGAGGGAGGAAGAAAGGAGGAGAGAAAAGACGGCCTCTGAGAAGCAAGGCGGTGAGTTCACATCAGAATATGTCAGAATAGTGAGTGATGTGTGTTAGACAAGCGGTTTGTTGGTAGCTCTCATTTTTTCTATTCTGTGGTCGCCATAGTAACAAGGATTTCATTTGCACTTATACTTGTATTAGTTTTTTATTATTTCCCTGGAGATCACTTCAATAACTTAATGTCCACTCTGTTAGCTTAGCAGCTAACTCACTTGCTCCTTTAGCTTCCAGAGCAGTGACTTTTTATGTTGGATCCCATCTGAGCAGGAGGAAACAAACCAGTTTCCTGACAGCTCTTTCTTCAGCCTGCGTACATCTGCTGTGCTCTCCACCTCAGCAGTGCTAGCAAACGTCAGCCGGTTCATTCAAACTGTGTGTCCAATTTCATCCGAAAGGTTTTTTCTTTAAAAAATGAATCTTTGTCCTTATTTTCAATAGAAAAGTCCAGTCGAAGACCTTGGCCTTTCCACTCCGTCTGCTGGAGAGAAAGCCGAATCCTCAAGCCCTCCCCTCGCAGCCGTCTCTGCTCACAGCACAAACAGCGGCGCGCCCGCTAATACCCCGTCTGCGGACTCCGACTCTGCCTGGTTGAACTCCTGCAAAGCTTCCACGCCCTGCATAAACACGGCTGCCGGCCTGCCACCGGCAGCCTCTGCTGCTAACACCGGACCAGCCTCCTCTCCACCTGCCCCCACCACCAGCATGAAACCCCCCCTGCCCTCCACAGGCCTCCGCGCCTTCATCACCCCGGTTCTCCCAGCTGCTTCATCACCCCCAGCTTCGTCCTTTCTCCCCACGTCTGCTGCTTCCCCACCGCCCTCCCCCTCTGTCGAGCCTCCAACATTCATTGCCCCCATCGCTCCCACAGCCGCACAGGTTCTCCCACGCTCGTTTTCCCCCATCACCTCTCTACCTCACTCCCCCAGTCCGCCCTCCTCGTCCTCACTCGCTCACGTCAAAGAGACCCCACCGGCTCGGCCTACAAGTAAGACATCACCCCCACCCGAAAGACCTCACAACTCTGCCTACAGCTGAGCTTCAGGCTGCTTAATGTTTTGTCTTCGCTAGTAGAGAAGCTATGATGGGGCAAGGCTGATAAAGTCAGACACATTTTAATGGCAATTAATACTTTCAGATAGAAATGTGTTGCCTGAGCATAAAAAAAACAAAGAAAGCCATCAGCCCTCAGCAAACAGAGCAGACTTTGCAAATCAGCTGGCAGCAAGTTGATCTTTTTTTTTTTAAAGTTGCTTCTACTGTTATAATTGTATTTTTTTGCCTGCAGTTCATTCATTTTTGCTTTGACGTTTTTTGTTTATTAAGTAACATGATATTACATTAAGGATGAGCATGTTGAGTAAAACATTGCATCGGAATTATGACAGTCTTCTTGTCTTTGCTCTTTTTTTTTTATCTTGTTTTTTCGGTGCAGGTTTTTTGCCAAAAGCTGAAGGAACCCAGATGGCGTCTGAAACTTTCCAAATCCAGGCGCCTCTCTCCCAGATGCGTCTCCAAGTGTCTGTGCCACAAAACCAGAACCAGAAACCCTCTTTACCCGAGGGCCAGGGAGAAAGCCGAGCTTCTCTCCCCCAGTCCTGTCCCCCCCAACAGCAACCACAGCCCAACACCAAGACGGCCTCCGAGCCCCAATCCCCTCACCCTCTACCGGGAGAGTCCCACCCTCCTATCCAGCCACCAGACCCCTCCCAAGTCCCCCATCCTCCACCTTCCTTCTCTGGCTCCACAAGCTGTTCAAGCGCCGAGTCCGCCAGCGTCCAGAACCACGCCCAGGCTCCACCTCCACCTCAGAGGCCCCCGTCTCCCCCGCAGCCCACTCACCATGTACAGTCCGCACCCCCCCACCCTCCGCCTCAGCCCATGGTCCCCCTGCAGAAGCTGTCCCAGATCTACCAGGACCCCCTGTATCCCGGCTTCCCGCAGGGAGAGAAGGGCGAGATGGCCGCCGTTCCGGCCTACTCCGCCAGCAGGTCTGGTGACGACCTGCCTCAAGGTGAGCCGGGCCGAGCGGCTCCCGCATCCGGAGAGCCGGATTCATTGTCAGCCGCTGTCCATCAGTCGCTCTGTCAGCTGACAGATTTGTTTACCTTTGCACAGTTTACTAGAAGATTTTTTTTATAGCATTTAGTCATTGAGAATGAATCATTTATGCATAAATCTGAATTGATTTTTAGAAGCCTTTAGCACATGCTTCACGAAAAGACCACTTCTTCTGAGTAAATTGGCAGGGAGCTCGTTCCGCTCATCTGCTGCCGCTCCCGGCCAGAACGCTGTGCTCCCGATACTAAACCACGAATCACGACAACAGTTTTCTCGGCCAGCATTTTAAGGACTGAGCAATTGCACCATCAGCTGTAGATCTCCCCTCGCAGAATAAAGAAGAATCAGCTCTAAATACTTTTTGGACAGACGACAACTGAAAAATGTCCCCTAGCACATGTTAGAATTCCAGAACGGACATTTTTATGACAGTCATCCAGACATCTGATTCCTTCTTAGTAGCACACTTGCAGAATCTCGATGTCTGAGGTTGATTGTGGCAAAGCATTCTCCGATTTCCAGAGTTTTTGGTGGCAGCCCCGTAGATTGAAAAAACGAACAAAACGTGGTTAGGTAAGCGGATGAATAGGCAGGTGGGGAGATGGTTAATCAGGGGAAACACTAAAAGGGTTTTGATGATGAAAGCTGTCTCTGTCCTCTGCAGATGTTAACGTCTTGAGGTTTTTCTTCAACTTGGGTGTGAGGGTAAGAAGCACGACACGGCACACACAGTCTATTTGTTTCAGACTTGTCCTTCAATAGTTGCTTTCTTTTTCTGTTTTTTTTTTTTAACTGGGTGTTTATGTTAATGAACAGAAGTTGGCACAATGTTCTGATAAGCAACATCTCTTTCTGCTTCTGTCTCATTCCATGTAGGCCTACTCCACGCCCATGTTTGCTCCCTACTTCTACCTTATCCCCCTGCAGCAAACCTACTACATGCAGCCCAAGCCCTCCTCCCCCTCCCCGCCACCCCCCTACGCTCCACCCAACCCCACTGCCAGGCAGCAGGGATCTCACACCCCCCCCCACTACCCTCCGACTCCAGTGTCAGTGCCCTCAAAGTACGACGGCGAGCCAGCCTTCAGCCAGGCCGGTTACCAAGGAGCCCCCCAGCCTCCATCCCACCGGATGCCCGTCCCCTCCGGGCCATGGCTGCAGGTGCCTCCACCCCGAAACGCCAGCTTTCCTGCTGGGTATCCCGCCCCTACTCCACCATACTCGGGTCCCCCACCCTCCTCCCAAGGCTGCTTCTCAGGTCAGGGCCCACTACAGTCAATGTACCCCACAGCTGCACCTCAGTATCCCCCCGTCAGTGTGGGGTATCAGTCCGCTTCCACCCCCGAAGAGTTCCAGGCCATGCAGGGGATGATGGAGTCACTTCAGCCCTCCAACGGGGACCCAATCCCAGGCCACGGGCATTTGGCTAATTTGGCTAATGTTAACAGCAGAACCATCGTAGTTTCTCCCAACTGTGGTAAGCAAGCAGCTTTTTTTAAAAAGAGAAAATCTACACCACAAATGTTTTTCTGGATAATGAAAACTTTAGATATGATGACTTCATGTTTTGTTTTTTTTGCTTGTTTTTTTTTTTCCTAACAGCCTTAAAGGAGGGGGGTGAGGGAACGACCCGAGCGGTGTTGCTGGTGGATCCGCCACTCAACAACAAACCCATAGTACGGAGCTACACACACAGTCATGAGCAGATTAATGTGCACTATCTTTCAAGGTTTAGGTTTGAAGACGCTTTGTAAAATTGTTAATTCTCTGCCAGACCTCTAAAGCAGACAAATACAAGGTCAGAGCAATGGACTGATAGGGCAAATTGCTTATTTATTAATTTATTTTAAACTAATAACAGTGTAAAAAAAAAAAAAACTGACCAAATTTAAGCTCTTTTTTATATTCTATCTTATCAATATGGGGGGCCTTATCCGGGACCATCTTATTCAGGATATGATTTTTTAAAAATGCTTTTCAGTATCTTATATTTAGATCTCTACATTCTGTTTTTGTATTGAGTGTTAGATTTGGGCCTCATTATTGGACCTCACTTTGGGGCTGAGTCACAGTCGATGAGCCATAGTGACCTCAGCAGGGTGGGCGGAATGATGGAGTAACCTGGCCTGTGTGTTTGTCTCAGCTTGCGCTGATCTCAGACCCTGAAATGAAGGATTCTCCAGTCACCCTGACCACCATGAAGTCCGGGAGCAGCCCCGGCTCTCCGTCGGGCTACCGGGGCCACCGGAAACCGTTCATCCCCACCAAACCGTACCAGGCCCTGGGCGCTCAGGAGCCCGGTCACATGGGCTGCCTGCCGCCGCACGCCATGGCCGAGCCGCTGTCGGTGGCCTGCGGCCCCGAGGAGGACTTTGAGATGGGAGCCATGAACTACACAGGCCAGAGGAAGAGCTTCAGAGCACGGGCAGGAAGGCCAAGGGGAGGCTACGATGGAGGGAGGGGGCCACCCCGGAGAAGATTTCGAGAGGCAGGGGAGGGGCAAAGCTTTCTCCAGTTTAACTCCTCCTACAGGGGGCAGGGTCGCGGGAGGGGATACTAGCACTTAGAAGATAAAGCAACTTTTCTTTCGTGCCCCCCCCCTATTTTTTTTCCATTTTCCTCCCTTTCTCTTCCTGTCATACTTGAGAATGTTTTGTCAGGATCTAAAGATTGCGACACAATCCAGGCTTCTGGTGTATTTGGCCACCTTATTCACCTCGCTAGCGTGCGCAGACTCCAGTTTACATTACCAAACAGTTGATAGCATAGATTTAACAAGCGAGAATCTCAAAGGGTTATTTGGGATAGGCAAATAATGAAAAGAAAAAAAAAAGACAAAGCTGCTAATAAGACGGACTGGTTGGGGTTATGTGGGCTTCCGGTCTGTGTGCTCTCCATCACTTTAATGCACTGTAAAAGGCTAAAGAATGTCTATGGCGCGGTCTTTGAACTGAAAACAAGCCGACAGAAAGGATGACGCACCAAGCTGTTTAAAAGCTTTAGGAGCAGTTTGTGTGTTTTCGTGGGGCTCAGGTTTAAGTCAAAGCTGTGTGTGTGTGGGTCGTTTTTGTGCGTCTTGCTCCTTTTCTCCTCCTTCACTTTAGATCAGTTACCTCTCTGTAGATTGAGTGCCTTACGTTTAAAGCTATTGCTTTTATTTTCTCAAAAAATCTGCTGTACAGAATTTTTGTTTTTCTTTTGTATGTGGATGAATAAATAAATCTTTGGTTGAGATTATTTGTTGTGTTTTCAGGTGAAATTGATGTTATGTGTCTTTGTGGGGAGGTTCAGATGTGTTGAAACAGAGAAACCCTTTAAAAACCTGCAGGACGGTGGCCCTGGAGGACCAGATGTGGACATCTCTGCAGCAGGTGGACCAGCGGGAGGGACAGATGCGTCTCTCAGGTGCTGTCAGGTCATTTGTCTTTTCGTCAGCCATGCCGCTTCAGCCTTCTTCCGGCCAAAACCAACAGGTGACAAACATATTAGGGCCTTTAATTCCTTGGTATATCAATTTCCTCTTTGTCCTGACATAGCGATTTGTTATCAAATGTACAAGGTTAGGCCTAAATTACAACTGAAAGAAAGCAGATTTATTTAGGTTATAGAAGCATCATTGATGGCTCTTTTTGGTGTGTATGGGCTCGTGCTTTGAGTGTACATGTGTGACTTTACTATGCCAGAAATATCATAGGCAATTTTACCGCAATTGAGTCCTGAAAGACTACAGGCGCTTTTTAAATATTTGTAATGTATAAAAGTTTGAAAACATGTTAGATTACATGTTAAATGTCCAACTCTTGGACTGTTAAAATTCTTGGATATATGTTAAGTGACTGAAACAACAAACGCAAATATACATATATAAATTATGACATTCTGGCATCTTCAGACTGGCTGCAGTTTAAAAAACTGAACAAAACCAAAATTTCAGGTCATGCTGCTTGGCTTCACTGAGTCCCTTCGACATAAGATAAAAATGAAATCTAAATTGAAATCCAAAAACACAACCTTGAAAATGATATATACATAAAATCACAATACATACCAACAATTGGGCATTGTCAACAGCATTTAAATGCGGTTTAACAAAGCTTTTTTTTTTCAGACTAAAATTAAACTTCTGCCTATACACAGGGAGCGACGTGTCTTACATGTGGTGAGAGAAATATCTATGACAGCTGCTACCACAACAGGAAAAGGAAAGAGCAGAGGCTGTGTGAGGTCAGGAAGCTTCAGTTTATTATCGCTTTGCTTGTAAATGCATGAGTGTTAAAATATGCTGCTGAATGTTCCACCACATCGGCTCCGTGTGCCTCTGGCCCGCGGGCCCGGGCCGGCAGACACGGGGAGCGATGCTCTTCCTTATGTTACACGTCACAACACTGCTGGCTATTGAACGCAGCTCGCCGGTGCATGAAAGGCTGATGTGATTTTTCTCTGTGATTTTATTTGTCGGCCATCTTTTGATGAAAATAGAGGCTGTGGAGGTTGAGGGCAACGCGCCGGTTGGCTTCCGACTGCGGCCCTGATCTCGCACGCTGTCGCACGGGGCGGCGTTTTAGTCGTCCAGGAAGAAGTAGTTCCCGCTTTTCTTCTGCTCCGTGTCCTGGAAAACAGGGGCGCCCAGCATTGGTGTGCGCTCGGACGCCTCTCCTCTGCGGGAGGGGCCGGCCTCGAGCCTTACCTTGATGGAGTTCAGCTTGTTGATTCGGGGTCGGAAGTTGTTGGGGTCTCTCCTGAAGGTGATCTCCAGCAACGACAGGAAGCGGTTCATCCCCGCCAGCAGACTCTGAGGCCTGGCGGAGGAGCCAGAGTTTTGGTGTTGGACATTATTTTTAAATAACGTGCCGCCTCTCTGCAGCCTGAGCGGGACTTACGTGTTGGCCGCCGTCATTTTGGAGGGAATGCCGTCGAACACGATGACTCTGTCGGCGAGGTATGTGGCCATGATGAAGTCGTGCTCCACCACGAACGCAGTCTTTTTGGCGTGGAGGATGTACCTGCCAGATGAGGAATGAACACAAAACCCATTCAGAGGGGTTTTCACCTCAGTTTTATAAGCCCCTTTTTAGGACTTCTTATTCAGGGTTTGAATGGAAGAAACCCTGCTAACTAATTAGTACTTTTCAGTATTTAAGAGTCCAAAAAAAGATTTGCTGGTTGTCCTTGGAGCCGATGATCAAAACATTAATTGATCATAGTTGCGTTTGGGCAGCACTGGCAAGTTTTCTGTCCCCTTGTTGCGCCTTCCTAACATTAAGTCCAGCCACATGACACCTGTACTTAAAATACCTGTTACAGATGTTAAATTCGAGTAAACTGTAACTATGAGCATGTGGAACTCTGGCTGTTTTTCTTTGGTTTATCCAGATTTGAAATCTCTGAGCATTATGATCTTCTGAGCATCAAAACTGACTGCTTTGGTTTCCTTCTACAGAATAGTCAGCCGGACGAACAGGGAGGAGGAGGAGGAGGAGAGCCACGCACCTCTTGATGACTCTGGCTGCCATCAACCTCTGCTCAGAGTCCAGGTAGGCGGAGGGCTCGTCAATCAGGTAAACGTCGGCCGGCTTCCCCAAACACAGCGTCAGAGCCACTCTCTGCAGCTCTCCGCCAGAAAGGTTCTGCACCTGCAGAGGGGTTTGAAATCATAGCCGTTGGCGTAAACACAGAACTAAGGGGGGAAAAAACTAAAGTTGATGTCACAGTTCATATCGAATGTCTCATGAGCTTAGGTTCTACTAGTCTGTTGCTAATTCTCCCCAGGAGCTACATTATGAAGACGTCAGCTGTTCATCCCCACATTATGCCACGTAGCTCAAGTTTTGTTTATTGGGGAAAAAAGTCAAAATAGCCCATTTATGCTGTTTTACCATCTTTGATGTGAAGGCTTTGGAGGAAACGTGGCAGTAAAGTCGCACTGCTGGCAGAGTTAAGGCAACAGGGAGGACTCAAACTCACATCCTGGTCGATGATGCTCTCGATCTGCATTGGCTTCATGACATCGGTGATGAACTGCGGGTGTGTGTAGGCGTCCCTGATCTTCTCGTGCAGCAGAGCTCTGACGCTGCCCTGCAGACAGACGGACATTTAGCTCGCCTAACATTTGAGAAAAAAAAAAAAGACGTGATTATCGCTCACCTTAAACTTGGGGCTGATGGTCTGCGGCTTGTAGCTGACGTTTAGGATGGGGATGTCGCCTGGAAGACAACTCGGGTCAGAGGTGTGGCTTTTGCCGTCCGGCTGGCCGGTGTGCGGGACACTCACCTCCTCCGTCGGGTTTCAGTCCTCCTGCCAACATCCGGATGAAGGTCGTTTTCCCCGTGCCTGCGGAGAACAAGCGCCGCCCTCAGTTTCCCAAAACGCTTCCCTCAAAAATTCACCACAAAATGGGTTTTGCTGGAGCTGGGGAAAAGCTCACCGTTCTCTCCCAGCATCACCATGATCTCCGAGTCTGTGAACTCTCCTCCTTTGATGTCCAGCGTGAACTCCCCCATCGTCTTTCCCATGTCTGGATACTGGAGGTCAGGACAAAGAGAACTGGTGGTAAACATCTTACAGACGTCATATAGAGTTATTTTTCCTGTTTTCAGTAACTGTTTGACGAATAAGAGGAAAGCAAATCTATTGTGGACAAAAAAAAAAATACAAAAGATTTCCAATAAACAGAAAAAAGTGATGTATGTGAGGACTGAGAATGTGGAAAAAAAAGAGAAAAGTCACTCCAAAAAGTTGACCGAAATGTTGTGGCGGGGGGGACGGGGACTGGGGCTGACCTGGTAATGCCTGAGTCTCTTCACTTCCTCCTCATTGGCCGTTTCAGCCACCTTGAAGACCAACGAGGTCTCGCGAAACCTGAGATTCTCTGTGGGAACGTATCCGTCCAGGAAGATGTTGATACCTGGGGGCGACGCAGAGGGAAATCAGAGCAGGTGGGCAGGGGTAGGGGGGCTTCATCAATGGGGCCTTTTGGGGCTGTTACCTTCCCGGACGCTGAAGGGCATGGTGACCACTCCGTAGGCACTGGGGACTCCGTACAGACAGCAGATGAAGTCTGACAGGTAGTCCAACACACTCAGGTCGTGCTCCACGACAATGATGTACCTGAAACGCACAGCCGGCCCCGTGAATAACCAAATCAGCGGGCCAACGGAGCCCGCCGCGCCTCAATTGGGGGGGGGGGGGGGGGGCCCCCCCCCCCCCCGGGGGGGGGGGGGGGGGGGGGGGCTCCTCACCTGTCCGGGGTGATGAGCGAGCGGATGGTGATGGCGGCCTTCAGCCTCTGCTTGACATCCAGGTAGCTGGACGGCTCGTCGAACATGAAACTGCAGGGGGGAAGAGCAGAAACAGCGTCAGGCCCCGCGCGCCCCGCAGGCGGAGCTGGGGCGGGACGCGGCGCCCGGCGGCGCTCACATGTCGGCCCTCTGGATGCAGACCACAGCGCAGGCGAAGCGCTGCAGCTCCCCTCCGGACAGGTCCTCCACGTTCCGCTCCCGCAGATGACTCAGATCTGCTCGTCAGACGTCAGGAAAAAAAAAGGTCAGAACGCGACAGTCCGGAACAGCTGTCGCCTCTGGTGGCGGAGGCTGCTGGTACCTAGCTGGTTGCAGACGATGTCCTGCGTGTCTGTGTCATCTTTCCTGCTTAGGATGGCCCCTACTGACCCCTGCGGGCAGAGAAGCGACATTACAGCATGCCTACAGCTAAAAGGGAAAGAGCAGGTGGGGGTCACTGACCTTGACGGTTTTTGGGATCTGGTCGACGTACTGCGGCTTGACGATGGCCCGCAGGTCGTCCTCCAGGATTTTGGTGAAGTAGTTCTGCAGCTCGGAACCTCTGAAGTAGGTCAGGATCTCCTGCCAGTCTGGGGGGTTCTGGGACAGGTGAACAGATCAATCAGCTGGGGGCAAAGTCCGGGAAATTCACCTTTGATAAGACTTCCAATTCAAAGCCAGGCAAAGATCTATCTATAACAACCAGAAGCCAACAAAGAGCCCATGCTGTTCTTTTTGATTTATTTACTTTAAGTCTGGTAATAAGATGGAATAAATCACGTGAGGTTAAATGAAACCCAAGGTCTTTTGGCTGACAGAAAAGATTCCTTTCCAACAAGCTGCATCATATTTGACTCTGATGCCGACTCAGGATTTTCTTTGTCCTGCCGTTAAAACACTTCAGAGCCCCCGTTGCTTCTGATGATAGAGTGTGCCTAATTTTTGCTTCATGTTCACAGTTTCTCTGATGAAAAGCTGCACTCTTGGCCTCTGTGAAGTTTTTCCTCCTAAACTGTGTGAACATTGTACATCAGAATGAGACTTCCATCTTCAGATTCATCACTTTGTTTTCAGCGTTCACACGGGAACTTCCTTTTAAAGATGGCCGCTTAAGAGCTCACAGTGTGAGGCTGCTCAAACTTGTTCTATCAGGCTGTTATGAAGGTTCAGTTCAGAAGTTAATATATTTGAATTAATATCCGACAGCAAACAATTATTTACTGCTTTAAAGTAAAATTTTTTAAAAAGTAATGAAATTGAGATTTGTCATTGAAAAGAGCAGATTTATAAACCGAACGCCTCTAAAATTACAGCAGCAAAGCAGGCAGCAGCAAACAACTGGAAAATATCAAACTCATGTCACAGCCTTAGCTTCAGACATCTAAAATCTAAAAACTTTTTTTTTTTATTTAAACAGAGAATTAAATATTCTTTACATTTCTTGGGTACGACAGGGTCATTTTTCCTTGAACCCTCAGCGTTGTGTCCACCTTAGATCGGACTTATACTTTTAATGCTTCTTTCAAATGTTTCTCCGAGTTCAAGTTAAAGCTTGACAGAAATCTGTGGTCTCATTTATAAAACGGAAGCGTGGAGTTCGGACTCTTTCCAGCTCAGCCTTCTGCAGATAAACGCAGCAGACAAAAGCGCAGCTACGCCCGACTATTATCTCTGCGGCTCAGCTGTGGGCGTTTTTAGGGTCACTCACGTCAAACTTGCCCAAGTTGGGTTTTTGTTTTCCAGCCAGGATCTTCAGAGCCGTCGACTTGCCGATACCGTTGGTCCCCACCAGCCCCAGCACTTCCCCGGGTCTAGGAATAGGCAGCCTGAAACGCAGGGGGGCAGAGCTCAGCGCCGCCGGTCGACCCAGAAGCATCCTAATGCTGTCCGGTGGTGCCGGAACGCCGGACGTAAAAGCACCTACCTGTGCAGTTTGAAGGAGTTGGCGCAGTATCTGTGTGTGGTTTCTTTCTCCAGATTGCTGGGAAGGTTGACGATGGACAACGCCCCGAACGGACATTTCTACGACGACAGCATACATTTGTAATGAGACAACAGACCCGAACACATAACGGGGTGAGAGCACTCCTTCCTCCCATTTTCTTTACCTTGATGCAGATGCCGCAGCCTATACAAAGAGACTCTGAGATCCACACAATCTTACTCTGAGGAGTCACCTCGATGCAGAGTTTCCCTGCAAGCAAACGGGACATTTTTGGGGTCTGCTCTGTGCGGCCGGACCCTTTAGTTCAGCCCCTCATGTGAGCGGAGACTCACCCATGCGGACCACGGGGCAACTCTTCTTGCACTCCTGACGGCATTTCTTGGGCTTGCATTTGTCATGGTTGACAATGGCGATTCTGGTGTTCTTATCCGCCATGACGGAGGGCTGGAATGACGGCACCTGCGGAGCTGAAAGATTCAGAGGCTCAGCGGTCTAATATGAGAAAATGTCACCCAGCAATGGAGAGCGTGACATAGGAGGGGTCAGGCTGATTCATCTTTTTTATTTCTGTGAGCAAGACCTCTCTCTGAGTATTTCCAAAATGCCTCTTTTTTCTACACCTGGTGATGTCTCTCATCAAACAGGGGAAAGCAGAGGGGGTCACTCTAAATAGCAAACATTAAAACTAACCTGCGATAGAAAAACTAAAATCTCCACAAGTACACAAAGTAATCGGGCTTTCACACTCTGCTGAGGCAACAAAATCCCACAGTGTGCAACCCAACAAAGGGAGGCAGCAGATCTCCAACCACAGCCCTGAACCAGCAACTCCTGAGTTTGACCCGACCTGAAATCCAGGCTACACACTTGATTTCTGATCCCGTTTTTAGTTGCTTCCGCGTTTCTAAAGAATAATCCAAAGAGTTTGTCAAACCCCTAGTGTGGCATCTAAGTAATGTTTCTGTTAACACTGAATCCGTCTGAACACAAAAGCCAGATTCCCACCGGTCCGGTCTGCAGTCCTTTATGGGGGAAGAGCGTCACACCAGCATATGGCAGCCCTGTGCGACCTGGAGGCCTTCAGCCGTTCGGCAGGACTGGAGGAGACATCTAACGTGATTCTAAACCAATCTGATTCAAACCTATCGCACAGAGTTCGGGTTTTAGTTTTTATCTCGGGACACCGTGAAACGTGACGGGCGGTGGCGAGCAGCATCAAGTTTGCATGTGCCCTTAAATAACCTGCTCATATACGACTCATTCTTACGCCGAAGTCTTCAGTTCTTCCAGTTAATACACCCAACGTATTCATTTCTTATCAATTATATTCCACTCATTGTCGATGGCCACAAATATCCTCATTCAGAGCATTAATGAATGTAGTCATGAGCGTTTTCCGCAGGTTTAATGAGAAAACGCGTTTTCCGGGCCCCACCACCTGTAAACGAGGCATGTGAATATCTACCTTATCAGATTCAGGCAGGGTTCTGGTCGTGTATTGAGTAGAGTGAAATGACTCTCCTACAGAACATAATGGAAGCAAAAGCGTTCCAATAAGTTCAATCACTAGGGAACGCTAACAGTTAGCGTTAGCTTCTCGTTACAGGACATAAGCGGAGGCCCTGCGCTCTGACAGCTGCTAGGGTGGCGAACACCTCTTGTTTCTATGGTAATACCAACGAAATACGCACCAAAATGCAGGGTTATATATTAAAAACTCACCCCTCGTCGGCTCCCTTAGTCCGCTTCGGAATGGGACAGCACAGCGGAGACGTTTCGAGATAAATAATCGGGTATGGAACTTCTCTTTTTTTTTTTTATCCCCAGCAACGTGTTTCTCTACTGGAAGCCGGCTGAAAAGATGGCGGGAGACACGCACACTATTCGCGACCGGACGCTGGTGACGTAAATTAAATGCGACTTGGTAAAGCAAAAGTGGGAGATTCGAAGTGGGAGTAACAGGAAGAAATTGAAACTACACCTTTTTAAAAAAACACCAAGTCAAATGTGTTGACACTGTACTTTCAAGACTTGTAAAAACGCTTCTTGTAAGTTGTGCTTCTAAATAGTCAATACAAATGTACGCTTAACGGCTAGTTGAGGCAGCTTACAACATGAAAAAAAATGCTAGCTACTAGCAATAGCTCCTTACCAAACATCACTAAAATGGTTGTTTAATTTTTACATATTTGTGGAAATTTTCACATTTATTGGCAAACATCTAGTGTCATCGTATTGAGACTATAAACCTACTTTTAGTTTTATTTAAATGGCTTTTATATTCCATCTATTTGTCTTTAAATTTGAGCCTCAAAGCTGGCAATATTTACATGTTAAGTTGCTTGTTGTGTATATAGGTATGTCGGCTGTTTTTCAATTGAGTTTTTGTATAGTGTCTAAAAAATATTTTCCGAAATTTCCCCCGTTGTTACAGCATGGCCACCCCGAGCAAGACACCGCCAGGTGCTGACCCTAAACAGCTGGAGCGGACTGGGACGGTTCGGGAGATCGGCTCTCAGGCGGTGTGGTCTCTCTCCTCCTGTAAACCCGGTAAACCTCTAAAATTCCGAAAATCCTCTATAGATACAGTGATGTGTAGAAGAACCTGCAACTTTGTTCACTTTTAGTTCTGCATGTGTGTCTGTGTTCTGGCTACATTGATCCTCCTTTACTTTGCAGATATTATATTACTGAACCTCTGAGGTTATATGTAATTTTGTGCCATCTGTATAAAAGACTGTTTATCGTTAAATGTCACATGTTTTTATGAAATGATCTCATGATATGAAAAGAAAAGAGTCAATGTACTTTATTTGAACCTGGCGGTTAATACAGAGTGATAGGATCAGTTTGATATTAGCTGTTCTGTGTGAAGGTTTTGGAGTGGATCAGCTCAGAGATGACAACCTGGAGACCTACTGGCAGTCGGATGGATCTCAGCCTCACCTGGTCAACATACAGTTCAGGTATCACAGACACCTTTCAGCTCATAAATATATGTAAAATTAAAAAGCTACCAAAAGCATTTTGTAATACAATGTCTGGTGTATTTTGTGTTCAGGAGGAGGACGACTGTGAAGATGCTGTGTATTTATGCTGATTATAAATCAGACGAGAGCTACACCCCGAGTAAGATCTCTGTCAGAGTGGGGAACAACTTCCACGATCTTCAAGAAATCCGGGTAACTCTTTAGGAAGCTCAGAAAGTTCCAGTTGTCTGAAGTTTGAGAATCTAACAGGACCACCTCCTCTTTCACCTTTGTGTCTACAGCAGCTGGAGATGGTGGAGCCCAGTGGGTGGATTCATATCTCTCTCTTGAATCAGGTAAAGAAATTTACTTGCTATGTACATAGCTTGGCGACATCTTATAATAGCCCACCTATGCCTGAAATGCATCTCTTCATTCATCGTTCTAAAGCAGTCTTTTCGAAGAAAGGTCTTCTGTTTCTGCTCTCTGTTATGGCACTGTGCAAAGTAACTGTAAATAATTATTCCTCATCAAAAGTGTTGGGGAAAAAACAATTAAGTGACATCCGAGGTTCAGAGCAGAGAGACGGTCATCCAAACCAGTTTAGCTGAAAGGCTGAATATCTGAGGGTCAGACATGCCCACTGTGTGACATCTTAGTATAGAATATTTGTAGCTGAGTGACATACGCTTTTGTGTGTTTCAGCGGACAAACAAGCCAATCAGCACCTTCATGATCCAGATCGCGGTGCTCGCCAACCACCAGAACGGAAGAGACACGCACATGCGGCAGATCAAGGTGTACACGCCAGTGGAGGAGAGCTCCATCGGGAAGTTCCCGCGATGCACCACTGTGGATTTTATGATGTACCGCACGATCAGGTGACCTGGCGACACGCCACCTACTGAGCCCGGAAGTTTGGGAGTAAAAGAAAACACCACAGACTGAGATCTGGGACCGCTGCTCATCGAGAACTGTGACATGACACAAACGAACTGAAGGAACGTGACAACTTCAGTTCTGAAAATTTGATTTGTTGCCAATATTGAATATTTAGAGTGACAGAATGTGGGAGTTTGTTTAAAAAAGGAAAAAGCAGCCTTGTCTCAGACTGCTTTGTGGTTGAAACGAAATTTTATCCTAGACTTTACCCATTTTTTTGTTATTTCTGGGGTTTTTGTGCCAACAGTCCTCCTGGATGTGTTACGTAACATGGAATAAATATTTCAGTGGTAGAATGTGACTGAGTTACTGTGTGTAACAGCACATTTGGAGAAGTGTTGGTACAGTTCTTTGGTGGTCAAGGAAGCGTATGGGGAGCCAGCTGACCTCATTTTTGGACACATCGTGTTTGCTGGACCTAGACCCGACCAACGGAAGCAACCCTAAATCATAACGGCTTGTACAGTTTTGTATAAAAAAAAACACTTCAACAAGCAACTTATCAGCTAACGGCATGTGTGTGAAACGATGTGCAGATTTGCTGATGTGCCGGTTTATTTTTGCACAATGTAGAGCTTTGAAAGAAGATCTAGGTTATTCTGAAAATGGGTCATGTAATAGTTTGTCCTGCAGGGCAGCTTTGACTCTGTGGTGTCCTCAAGCCAAGCCAGCTGTATTCAGGAAACACTCTAAACACAGCAAACACTCACCAACATGCACAACATAGGTATGAAAGTCAATAAGATGATTTCAAATTTATATAACGACTTAGCAGAAATAGTTAAAAAAAAAAAAGAGGAAAAAAAGTGTTTCTCTGAAATGCTAATTTGAAGATTAATGTAATATAGTGGGTTTATCAAAAGTGAGTAAAGCAGCGTCAGTGGGATTCTTATGCTTACGGACGAATCTTAACTGACGGAAAAAGTCGGAATTTTCTTCCTGTAGTTCACCATTTCAATCACTGGATGGCGCTTATTTGAAGTGGACATGACGGCAGTCTAGCTGGAGGGGAGGGGATGTCCCCATATGATCGGTTGCCGTGGTAACTGGGTCTGCGTAAGTGTTGCTCTTAATTGAATTGCGTTAATCAGCGAGTCTCCATCCACCTGCGTTTTAAGACTCAATTTGGCTTCTGACACAGTTTTTGTTCCTTTTCATCTCACATTCTTTAAAACCGACTCCCTCGTGCTTTTAGAGATAATAATATTTAAATAACCAATTTCAGAGATGGATGATAGCTTGTTAGATATGTATTTAGCTGACGTTGGGTCTTTTAGCAGTTATTAGAATCGGCGAAGCGAACAGCGTGACCAACACGACTCCTGTGACAGAATCAGAACAACCAACTATCGCTAAAAGTTTTATGTCAGGAGTCTGGACAGTTGGAATTGAAGGTAAAGTTGAAGGTAAAGTTTAAACGTTTTAAAACACAGGAACAGACTTGACGTGAATTTTAGCCCAATGTCATCATTTCAAAGCTCTTCATGTTTGTTTTTTAAAGGAAAAACCTGTAACAAGCTAATCTTCAGCCTTTTAATTTTTTATTTGACTTTACTTTCTTAAAAGTTTATTCTGCTGGATGACCTTTACGTGCCAGCGGACATGAGCAAATCAGCTTTTCTCAGACTTCGGCGTTTTCTGTGTTTTCAGCGACAATTTAAACAACTTATTGATTTTGGGAAAAGTTTCCCAGGGTTTGGTTTCGATTTGGTTTGTGCATGAAACGCAAAAGTGTCGAAAGAAGACCTCCCCACGTCTGAGGCACGTGAATGCAGCATAAAGTAAGGACGGTCTTCTTCTACGCGAGGAAATAACGTAAAGCAACCATGTTCTGCTATGTTGACCAGTTTACAGTTTAACATTTACATTTATGGACATTTTTGTCAGTCTTCCGTAAAACTTAAAGTTCTTGTGTGTGTGTATATATATATATATATATATATATATATATATATGTTTTAAGAAAAATCTTGAGCCCCTGCTGGACATCAGATGAATTGCAGCTTGGCCTCAAGCCAAGAGGGAAGCACAGCCCAAAACCAGGAAGGCTGATCTGTTTTTCCTTTCCAATAAGGTGATTGTGAACTGTTAACAGATGTTTCTCTTCCTGTTTGTGTCAGAGTGCAGCAATGAGGTTTTCAAACAACAAAATCAAATAACGAAAGGAAACAGTAACTTGAATGTAGTCCTCAAACACTCGTTTAGTTTTGCAAAAAAAAAAAAAAACAGGTGCAAAATTTAGGATGTGGATCTTTCTCTTTTTTTCCCCGTTTGGAGATATTGTAATAACTGTTATTTATGCCAGTTCAATCTTAATTGGTTTATGCTGTCAAACTCCGTGTCACCATATTAGCTTAGAGGCTATTTTGTATTTTGTGGTGGATGTTTTGCATGAATAGGGAGGGACTGTAGAGTCAGAGGGCTATCTTTCTCCATGTTGTGGGGTTGGATTCACAGCAGTGTAGGCCGGTAAACTGATGCATTAAGTCAGTGACGGTTGGAGCGCGGATCTGTGTGTGCGCGGACTGTTAATGTAATTGCTGTGGGCAGTGTGTGGTTTAAAGCACACAAACATCAGGCGGGTTTCATCTCACTAAAAGCACAAAGTCAACCCTCCTTTTTTTTATTTTATAGGCACACCAGAGAGGACGAGAAAAAATAGAACAGGAAAACAACAGCATGATGATTAAACACATTAAACACAAACCTTTGATGAGGCTCAGCTCACAGAGCCTGATGCACGGCAGGAACTCGTGTCTTTTTTCCATCTGGGCTGTCCGGCTAAACATACATAATCAATCAGCCCTGGATGCGGAAGAGAAAAAACTGAAATATGGGTTACAGAAACAAAAAAGGCAGCTATGAATATGGGGCTGCTCTGGGTGTGTACAGGACTGAAATAAAAGGCAGAAAAAGCTCCACAGCAGTAGGCTGTGAAGCTCCACATAACACTCTTACCCTAAGGGTTGTGTACATCAGTTGCTGAGGTTGTAAAAGACTACCTGTTAAGACAAGAAAAAACATCTAAGGATGGGGTTCCTCAGAAAGGACTTCCACAACTCTGTGAGAAACTCCTGCGCGGAAGAGACCTGCGATTAGAACAGGACCGAATGTGTACTGATCTGTTTTTGAGAGGTGTGGATGAGCAGCAAAAGCTCGGGAAACAGTTACAAAGAGAGCAGAACCTCCATATAAAAAAAGTCAGTTGTTAGATGCTTATTTGGGTGGATCCGAGTCTCATTCCCCTGCATCCCTCTCAGTTTGAAGAGAAGAAGAAACAGAGCCTTAACGTTTTCAATTTAAACTGGAATTGTTGTTTATTATAGTGCATAAAACAAGAATCTACTCTCAAATACATCTCTGTAAAATGAGGATATATATTACAATTATATGGCATTTATATCTTGTAATCTATAACATGATTGATAACAAATAAAATTATAACTAAACACCATAATTTGATTTACTTTCAGATAAAAATAGGTTTAGACTGAATAGATACAGTAACTAAAGTAGTAAATGCTCATTTACAAAACTAATAGTGTAAGAAATGGATGTTGACTTTTGTCTGGGACTGTTATTCTATACTGGACTTTTTAAGCGTTTAATGGGTGTTAATATTCCTTCAACTTTCTGTCAAGAATTGCAAAAAGAAAGTCAATTTATCACAGGTCATGCATTTTCTAGATCACTGTGGAAAAGAAAACATAGTTTTGGTTACGAAAAGTAGTGGGAAAAACAAAAACTGGAAATTGCATAAATGCGGTTTAAGTAAAAAACAAAGTACATTTTGCTTTTCACTTCAGAATTTGCTGTGATTTTTAAAATGATTTTTTTTCCTTTTCTATGCTTATAGTTTGATCGAACTATTCTAGCTGATTCTGGGTAACATCACAATCTATGCAGTGAATTCAGCAGTGTCTCCACCGGGATATGAAAAACGGTAATAACCAAACTGCAACCCGGCGTGCAGCGGCTGAGTGAATGTGGTCTGGACTCGGTGCAGCAGGGTCATGCTGTCAGAGACGCTGTAGAAAGACAGAACGCCCGCTCTGTGATCCAGGTACACTCCCACTCTGGAGGACTGGGGACCCGACACCGGAGTGTGGACTTTGTGGCAGCGCAGCGTGTAACTGTTTGCGTCACACTTTAAGGACCAAGATTTCTCATTATATCCAAATTCACATTCAGCCGACTTCCCCTCTCTGCTGATGTTCTTGTACGCCACAGCCACTTCCACCCCCCTCCCTTTCCACTCCACCTCCCAGTAACAGCGTCCAGTCAGACTCTCTTTGCTCAGGACCTGAATGTAGTAAGTGAACCTGTCTGGATGAAAAGGATACGACTGCTGTTGTCTCATTAAAGTTGCTTTTCTGTTCTCATCAGATAGCAACAGATATGTGTATGCCGTGTTTGGATCCAGTGTGATTTTCCTTTGATATTTTAAGAAGTCGGCTCTGGTTTGTGGTTCTGGTTTTGGCAGCAGGACGTCCGGCTCGGACACGGTCAGTGAGATGTGCGTCCACTGCTCTGTCAGCACGTCCTGCAGCTTCTCTCTGGTCTCTGACACAGCGGCCGTCACATCCACAAAGTAGCTCCAAGGCCGAGTGTTGATGCTGGAGGAGTGTGCAGACTCACTGAGAGCTGACAGTGAGGGGTAGCTGTGGAGGAACTGGTTGTGGTCCTCTGTGTGTGAGAGCTTCTCCAGCTGGCCGTCTCTCCTCTTCAGCTCCCAGATATCCTGCTTCAGCTTCTCCTGAAGCTCCTGGACTCGACTCACTTCGATTTTCTGCTGTGATCTGAGCTGCAGCTTCACATCGGAGCTTCTTTTCTGGAGGAGGCGGATCAGCTCCATGAAGGTCCTCTCGCTGTCCTCCACTGCTTTATCAGCAGAGCCGTTGATGGCCTCCGCCTCCTGTTGAAGCAGCTGCACGTCTTCCTCTCGCTCCTGGATTCTCTGCTGGATTCGTTGGCGGCTGGCCTCCAGCTCCTTCTGCTTCTCGGTCCTTTCTGCTTCTGCTGGGACCGTTTCATGGCCTTTATGCTCGTCCATTAAGCAGAGATAACAGATACTCTGCTGGTCGCTGCGACAGAAAATCTTCATCACCTCATCGTGACGGGAGCAGATGTTCTGCTGGAGGTTCTTGGAGGGATCCACCAGCTTGTGTTTCTTTAGTCGAGTCACATCATGGTGAGGCTGAAGGTGTTTCTCGCAGTAGGAAACCAAACACACCAGACAGGACTTGATGGCTTTCAGCTTCTTCCCGCTGCAGACGTCACAGGCCACATCATCAGCTCCAGCGTAGCAGAGATCAGCAGAAGCAGCTTGGAGCCCAGTCTTCTTCATCTTCTCTATCAAGGCTGACAGCATCGAGTTTTTCACCAACGTAGGCCTGGTTCTGAATGCCCTCCTGCACTGAGGGCAGCTCTGACTTTCGTCTTGATCCCAGTGGCTCTTAATACAGTCCATGCAGTAGCTGTGTCCACAGGGAATAGTCACCGGATCCTTTAGTAGATCCACACAGATCGAACAAAAGAAGGTTTCCCGATCCAGCTGCACTCCTTTCTGTGCCATTTTACCCCTCTGTAACAATGATTGTGTAAGTTTCACTTCCCCAAACCCGAAACTAAATCTGATCTACTCCACCTGTTTTCTGTTTGCATTGGGGTGTGTCGTCGCTGCCACCACCAGCTTTAACCTGCAATCAGGTGCCCAGAATAGGAGAGAGATATGGAAGGAGGGGCATGGGTAAACAGGAGTGGCTGGAAACAAACTGTGTGTGTTTAACTCCTTCATTTCTAAGCACATCATGACATGTTGAAAAGTATTTTGTGTGTGTGAGTGTGTGTGATTCTTTGTTAGCGTGTCTGGGTTTCTAGATGAATCCTTGGCCTCTCCAAAGAACTTTTCCATTGTCTCGAATGTTTCAATGTGGCTGATAACCCAAAAATAATTAAAACGCCAAGAAATTATCACTGCCAAACAAACACTGCTGTTGCTGTTTTTCATCTCAGACAGATTCTAAGTTAGCCTAATATTTCATTAACCTGAAGATCAAGGTAAGACAAATTTCTAAAGTCTAATATCAGAGCGACTTTGAGCAAGACGTCCTAACTGGCTTGTGTTCTTGTTTTAGGTAAGGAGACAAAAGAATATGTTTACGGTCAGGACTACCGAGGGGAAGGAATGTGATGCCAAAAAAAGGCTCTTTCTGGCTGAGGTAAGTCACAGTAAATGCCATGTTGACATTAACTGACATCAAGTGGCCAAATAAAACATATTCCTCCCACCACTATAACAACAAAATGAGCTTTGGATGAACCATTCAATTCAAAGGAGGGAGAAATTAAGTAACTCTGTTATAAGTGTGAGGAGTTGTTGTTAAGTGTGTTCCACCTGGGAAAATCCCCACTTGTGGCAGCTGAAATACAATTCTCATCGATTACCCATGAGACTTTTCAGCTTTCTGACAGCACAGTGGAAGGTCCGAAGGTCCCCCTCGGGTGAACTTTGAAACACAGAGGTGTTGTCAAGGAGAGAGAAATGTGCGCTTGATGAACAGCTAAAATGTTTGAACACAGAAGACAAAAAAGAATTGACCAACTTTGCTGAAGTTTTTTTTTGTCTGTTTATTTAATTCACTCTCATGTCTCATCTGCTTTTTCAACCTTTTAATTTCCAATTCTTTTTCTGTTCCTTTTATTGTCTTTTATTTGTATGCTTTCCCCATCTTTTCTTTTATCTATCATTTGCTTTCCTTTGAAATCATCTGTTCATTTTACCGTTTTCTATTTCCTCTTTCTTCCTGCCATTGTAACTTTGATCCCCTCAATTCTGTCCTTTTTCAGTTTTTACCTTCTTTTTTTCTATCCCTCTCTTGTTTGTTCTCTATTTTTTTTCTATAATTTGTCTGTTACTCTCATTGCCTTTGTTTTTTCATTTTCTTTATCTTCTTTATCAAACATCCCATTTTTCCTGCTTCTTACTTTAAGTTTCTCTTGACTTTGCTTACTTTCCTGTCTTCTTTTTTTCTTCATTTCGCTGGGATTCTTTTTCCTTCCATACAGACTTCTGCTCGTATTGATTTCATTTGCTTTCATTCCTTTTTAAAAAATGTATTCGACACCTCTGATTTTATGTTCTGTTTGGACTCCACAGAAAGTCCTCCCATGTTTCCTTTCCGAATGTTATCAATTGGCTGCAAACTCATCACAGATTGACTTCACTGGCAGTGACACTTTGTTTATTTCATTGGCTAACAATGAAAAATAATTCAAATCATATAGTTTTATGTGTTGAAAACAATCCCTATCAAACGGCTATGAAAAATGTAAATGGATTTTATTAATGAACTGTACACCCCTCCCACATGTTTCCGTTTGCTCCTTGTTCAGGATTTACAGGCTGATCCTGGTTGCACAATGTTCTCCTTTCCACTCTCCCACAGACTCCCACATGCTGGAGCAGAAACACAACGCGCTCAGACAGGAAACGTGTGGGAGGACTGAGGTTTAAAGCTGGAGTTCATTTTATTGTAGCACAGAAAGCAGCAAGGGATCTATAAGATGATTCTGAATGAATTAACGCTATGCTACTACCTGCTCTTGAAGAGGAATTTTAACAGTGGTCTTGTTGTCAGTTTAGGATCGATGTGTTGCATGTAAAGTGGCCTTTTTAAAAGAAATATTGAGTGCAAAGCTGATTTACAAGTGGTGCACTGACGAGTGCTTCAACCAAAGCATCTTTCCTCTGGATTCTAAACATGCAAACTTTAACCTCCTCGAATTCCCTGTGAGACAGATGCATCGTGCTACAAAGTCTGCCGAATGCAGAATCTTGTTGTCGAAATGTCAATTTGTCTAATGTGCATACTGTAGATAAGCAAAAGTCTTTGCTTTTTTCCAGTGGCGGACCGTGCATTTCACACCTAGGCCTTCAGTAGTGCTCCGTCTGAATCAATTCACCCCTCAATAACTATTTTATGGTTATAGAAATCATCATATTATGTAGAAATACAATAGGGATGTCCCGATCCAGCTTTTTATATTAAAGTTGAATTTTTCTTTCTACTTACTTAATTGTCAGACTCATGTTGAACAGGGATTTACTCTTATAACAACTAAAGTTTACACAGACCTGTGGGTTAGGAGATGCTAATGCTAATGCTCGTGTGGGATCAGACTTTGAAAAAAAATATATGGAGTCTCGATTGGCATTTTCTCATGCCGGCCGATACGATCCAAATATCGGATCAGGACAATCCTAAAATACAGTCTAAAGATCAGGGGTGCACAAGTCCTCTACTCCTGCAGCTACAGCTGCGATCGCCCCCCCCCCCCCCAAAAGACAAAAACAAAAACATCAATAATATCCTCATAAACTCGCAATACCATTTAGGAATAAAACAACATTTTACTCACTTACTTTTCTTGAAAAGTCCGTTTTGAAAATAGTCTTGACAGTAAATCCACCACGAAATAATAAAATAGCTATTACACTAACACAACTATATTTCGGTTTGTTTGCTAGCTTTGCCCTGATTGGATATCTGACTATCCAATCAGCGGTGTGGGTTCCGGGACATTTCCGGGGCCTTCGCGCAGGCCCTGGCATCACCAACCTAAAATCTGATTGGTTGAAGCAACAATGTACTCGACATGTATTTTCTGTGGGGGGGGGGGCCTGCAGAACGGATTGTGAAGGCCTCCTGGCAGACATCTTTGACTCTGACCCTGCCTAGCGACAAAGGATGTCTGAAATGTGATTGGTTAAATGATTTTATATGAAAATGCATGTCTGGAAGCAGCGCAACCAGGGGGAAAGCTATGAAAGGAAGCTGACAGACTATTTCGAGATATTTAATAAGTTTTCATGGACAAAATATAATTAACATCAGTCTGTGATTCCGATATTTTCTTAGGCCTTCAGAGAAGGCCTTGAAGGCCCTGACGGCCCACCACTGCTTTTTTCTGATTCTCTGTGATGGTGAATGAAGTTCTCCATTTGAGCAATCATTTTCAGTTAGTGAAAGCTTTTGGTAGAAGATTTTACTCTCTGAAAACCTTGTCTCCAGAGTAAAACTCTGTTTTTTATAAGCCATTCAAAATAACCACTCCCCTTGGAAGACAGTATTGTTCGCCTCGCCACTTTCATGGATTTATATGAAAAGTTGAAGCTCTGATGGCCGCTTCCTTTATTTAAAAAAACAAACTTTTTCAACTCAAATTTGACATAAAAAGCCTGTTTACCAATGCAAAGCTGCAACACAATTGCAGACCCATTTGGGAATTTCTAACAGAAGCTTGTTTTATTATATTGCATTTCATGTGGAATTTAAGCATATTTAAACATACTTAATGTTATACTGTGACCCTTTAGTCAGTAGTGTTTTAAAGAATGTATTTTTTAATGAATGTGTTCAGAAAAGCCTAATATTATATGATTACATTTTGTACAGTTGCAATGGGCTGCAGTACCAAATTAGAAGGTAATTCAGGGGAGAAGAGGTATCTGAACTTAGCTGCTTGACAGAAAAATGAAAACATAGGAATCAACATCACACTGAGGTATTCTTAAAAACTGATAAACAAGACAACCAGTCAGCTCTTTATAAAACTGATCTTTATTGTTTCATAGTCATCCATCCAGTTCTCTTTTCATTCCACCAAGACAATATTTTCAGATTTTTCTTATAAAAAAAAGTTTAGTATGTACATCCTCTATGTATTTACACTATTTACATGGTTACACTGTCACAGAGCCTCACACCTGCAAACGGTCAAGTTTCCTGCCTGAAATACCACTTGTTGCTGGGGGAGACATCACCCAAATCTCTGCCTACTGGTGGAAGTGTTGCCTGGCAACAACAGCTTATCGGATTAATGCCTGCAACCAGGAACTCTTTTAAATTATTTATCTTTTGTATGTATTTCATTAGCAGAGGCAACTGTGGCAAGATGATCCACGCAAAACAGCTGGATGGCCACTCAGAGCACATAAATAATAAGAGTTGAATGTGTAATGTTGTTTTAACGTAGTGTTGTTTGGTTGAGGAGATTTTTGTTTAAATGGCCTCAAAGTCTTTCAGCCGTCATTTGCGTGCCCACAATCTTCAAGACTTGTTAATTCACAGATGAAATGGAAGGTTTTCTAATAAATAGACATTTCTTAGTCGAAATTAGTCCAATTTAACTGGAAAAGCTGCATAGAAAGTTCTTTTAAATCATGAAGAAACCGCCTTCTGAATTGATCGTTAGGTTGGTCAATAGATCATTTTTAAATCTACATTTTAAAAGGCACAAAACTCTGAAGCTTCAACAGGATAAAAAGGACATTTGCTACCTGTTCCTCCCTGCTCCGCTTCAGATCCCTCTTTTTGAAGGGGTTCCGCACAATTTGGGTTTACATTTTCAGTAAATATAGCAAATAGTTGGCCGTCACAGTTTCAGAATTTTACAACCCAACGAGCTGATTGAGGGTTTGTATAGTCACACTATAGGTATAGAAAATATCCCAACACTTGCTTGTGACCAAGATGAGAAGCTCAAACTGGTTAACCAATAACAACTTTGGAGCCACGTGCTGGGCTGAAAATGTTGAGGGAAGCAGATAAACGTGGGTAAAAGCAGCAATGTGTAAGCAAACAGCGTCTGGAAATGACCTCACCGGTTTACTGGTTGCGACTGGGATGAATCTGGATCAAAGAATTCTAAATGCCACAGAGCGTCACTTCACACAGGCCCTTTTGGAGCACTGAAAGGGGATTCGACACAGGAAACGATCCACGTGGTTCAGAAGCTATATTGCGGTTTCTGGGTTGTTTTACAAGTTGAAAAACTTGGAGCTGAAAGTGTGGAAAATTGTCTTTTGATATCTACTTCCAACTTTTGGCAGTGAAACATCAACGGAGGGTTCGCGTTATGGCCGGCTGGGAGCGATTTAAAGGGGACAAAGCAGCTGAAAAACTATTTTGGTAATGCTCTTGTGGTATTAAGTAAAGTTCCCGTAAAGCTTGAGGGACAAAGGTTACAAATGTTCCGACTGTTACAAATGTGAGGCTCCGGTTGTGATTTTCTGAGCCCGGTTTTCTCCCCGTTGAATGACTGCAAAACAGACTCTTGCAGCAGCGCCTGACCGCAGTGTGTTGACCGCCCCCGTCGAATGTGACGGCCAGAGGCAGCGGGGCCGGCCACCCGCTCTCCACAGCGTGCACAACAACATAAAACAAGCAGAGGACAACACTGGCTGAGGATGAGTAAAACTGCTGGCCTCCGACGCCTTGAAAAGGTGCCCGGCTCTCCGTCTGTAAAGATTTGGTAGATATGGATTGGTGGGTTCAGACGGCGTTGATTCCTCCTCATTGGTTCAGCAGCAGAAAAACAGTGAATGCCCTAGTCTGTCCTCCCCTCCCATAAGGCTACATTCAAAGCAAGGAAACTTTTGTTTGGAATGAATCCAAAAGTCTGCCCAACATTCACACGTCTCTTCGACAGTCGGGGGGACTGCATCCAGTCAGGACTTTGGTTTAAAACAAAAAAAAAAAGTAGGAGTGTCTGCAGCATTTCTTTAAAAAACAAAACATTTCTTTCCAGATCCTCTTTCCTGATCTCTGCTTCTTTACTGATGTCACATCCTCCTCAGTCTGTCTCCTTCTTGTCCTCCAGGTCGAAGTCCAGCACGAGCAGCTTGGTTTCCTCGGTGCCGTTCCGGCTGCCGGCGGCACACACCAGCCGGGTGTCGGACGCTCTGATTCGCCACACCACGCCTCCTGTGGAGAACAAAAGTGGCTGCCCTCATATTTCTGCAGCATCTTTGCATGTAAAGTGAACTAGGCTTTATAAAAAGCACACTGGATGGTTGTCTGCTCACTACCACAAACCTTTCTCTGTTAACAAAGTAAATGCCTTCTGGCTTCTGAGGTCAACTCAGTAAAATAAGAAAAGACTAATCGTTTATTTAAGTTCCTGTTGAGGTGATAAAGTGGAGTCTTCAAATTGCTGATGGGATGAGGTGCTGGGGTCCTGACCTGATCCTCGGCTCTGCAGTGCCACCACGTCCCGCAGCCAGGCTCCGGTCCGAAGGTCCCACAGTTTGACCGTCCCGTCGTCCGAGCTGGACAGAACCAGGCCTCTGCAGAACTGAAGGCACGTCACCGCCGACTGGTGCTTGTTGGGTCCTGGGGGGAGGGGGGACACAAAGGGCATACAGTGACCCCTGACCCTGTTGCTGGGACAAATTATGTCCAGGAATTCTGGGTGTCTTATGGGTTCAGAGCGGCCTGTTGATAAGCATTGGTCAAAGAGTCTCCAGATTTTGACAGCTTGTCTTTTTTTGGTTTTTTTTTAATGCTGAGTCAGCACACAGGTGGAGGGACTGAGACTGCTGTTGGCTCTGACAGAAACTCTCAGCTGGACAAACAGGGGCTGGACTCACCTTGCAGCGTGTGCAGACACTGTCCTGTTCTGACGTCCCACACTCGCACCGTGGAGTCAGCGTTCCCGGACACCAGGACATTGTCACGCAGCTCCATGCCGCTGGTCAGTGACTGGTGACCGGTCAGCGTGTGAACGCACCCACCTTAGGACGAAGCAGTCGGCCCCGGTTAGTAAGAGCCCTGTTCATATCTTTATGGATCTGTTTGGCTTGATTATGGTCTGTTGGGGGAGCTAATTCTCAGAGTAGTTCTGGTTACGGCCACTTGGGGGCGACAGGCTGTTGAAATGGCAAAAGGTTAGTTGAATAAAAAGCACAATTAATAATTTAGTGACAGTTACCAACCATAAAGTGAAGTTAGATTTGAATTTTTCATTTTATAAGTGGCACGGCATACGAATATAAACAGTTTACTTGGTTAAGTCTAGTTTCAAAAGTTATGAAGTCAATTTAAGGTGATGTTGCTTAAGGACAAAAGCTGCTCAAAGAAATCAGGTTTTTGGTTTCTTCAGATAATTAATATAGTTGAGTTTAAACTGAGGCTGAAGACATGAATACAGTTAATATCAGATGTTCTCATTCACTCTACCTGTCTCTGCGTCCCAGACTCTGATTGAAGTGTCCAATGAGCCGCTCACCACAAACGCGCCGTCAAACTGGAACAAAGCCGTCATAAACGCTCAGATTTCAGAGCCGTAAAGAGGTGTCCGGCTGGGACGCAGCTCAGAGGCTCCGGCTGTGCTCACCTGCAGCGAGTACACTCTGTTGGTGTGTCCCTGCAGCGTGTGCAGACACACTTCCGTCTCGGGGTCCCACACCTTCACCATGTAGTCGTAGCCGCCCGACACCACCCGCCGCCCGTTGTACTGCACGCAGCGCACGGCCGCCACGTGGCCCGTCAGCACGTGCTCGCAGCGGCCCGTCGACACGTCCCACACGCGCAGCGTCGTGTCTCGGGAGCCCGACACCACCCTGACAGATGACAGGCAGACATCACAGGGGTGTCAGCCAATCACGGCCGTCGTTTTGACATACCAGGTCCTAGAACAGTTCCTGTTTTGTGTTGTGAGATTTTCGAATGAGGTCCTGAGATGGCTCTCCAAGGTGTTTAAAGATGGGGGGTACTTAGTTTGTGTGCTTTGCTTTGGAGTTCTTCTGATCCTTTTAATACCTGCTAAGGACTACTTCAATCCTGATGACAAAACCCTCAAACTGAAAGAGGGAACGATTCCTTTTTTCACATGACAGTAAAAGTGTCCCCTCGAGTCATTTGTGTGAGTGTGTGTCTTGTTCTAATGTGGCGACTCGGTTGTATTTATGTGTGTGTGTAAATAACAGTCATAAAATGTACATATAACGTTTCAACGTGCGGTTGCCATAGAGATTAATTTAGGTGTTCCTGGAGTTTTGTGTGTAAGAGGGGGAGAAGAAAAAAAAACTGTGTGTGTGTGTTACCGGTTGCCATGGAGATGCATGCAGCGCACGGTGGACGTGTGCCCGTACAGCGTGTGCACACACTCCCCGCTCTCAGCGTCCCACACGCGCAGCGTCCGGTCGGTGGAGCCGCTGATCACCGTGGCGACGGCCATCTGACTGCACCACACGCCGCCGGTGTGACCCGTCAGCGTGCGCAGACACTGAGACACAGACGGCAGAGGAAGGAGGGACTTTTAACAAACTTCTGCGGTCTGAATCAGTTGGGAGCGGGCAGTTATTTGCGTGGTTTGTGCAAAAAATAAAATTAAAAAGGCGCCAGGTAGCTTGTGAACCTTGAAAATAAATCCTGCATTTGCACAAACGCAGCCAATTAGCCGCTCTCGCCTCACTGTCCGCATCTCGCATTCTCTTTAAGTCTGCGGTGCGTGTGGGGCAATATTTGCTTCATTTTTTTCACAGTTACTACTGAAGGACATACACACACCAACACACAGGAGAAAAATGCAGCTTCACCTTGAAGGAGTTGTGGTGGTGGTTACCATGGCAACCATGGGGAATAACTTTGCCTTGGCAACTGTTGCGGAGACGGAGGAGGACACTGCAGCAAACAGTACAGCGCTGTCACGTCCTGATCAGAGCGTTTCTTCAGATCAGGACGCTTTTCAGCTTGATGCCTCTCCGTCCCTGCAGGCGGCGGCTGAGGGTGTGTGTGTTTTTCTTTCTGCAGGAAGCAACACGCCTCTCCCCACACACACATGCAATGTGCTTTTCATCACTTCGGAGGACGTTAAGTTGACTTAAATTAATTTCCTGGTGAAAGTCCTCCCCTGTAATTCTATTGACGTGCATCATGAGGCTTGCCTTTATGTCTCTAACGAGGACAAAGGTCCCTTTAATGCAACTGTGTAAACAGATTCAAGCTCCCGCATCATGAGTACCGCATACACAAACACACATGGGCAGTGTGTGTGCCTAGATGGAAGAGAGAACAGGTGTGTCGGGTTAAGGAATGCTCAACCGAAACCAGATGAATGTGCTGCCCCCCCCCCACTTTGACACATCCAGCCACATGGAAGAAGCTTACAAAGCCTCTCTAAATGACTTATGGAACACGTTTTCTCCCCGAAAGCAGAAATCGAGAAAGGATTCACACAAATACCGTACACAACGAGATTATACGCAGCAGACACAGCTGTGAAATTTATCTGAAGGGTTGTGTGTGGTTTTGAAATTAAACAGCCAAGTAATAATAGTCAGCTAGCTTTTATCACATGAACAAACACTATGTTGACTATGTAAATGAGAACAAAACCAATTAAGACAAGACGGGTACGAGAGGGACCAATAAAATCATCCTAAATGAACGGAGATTATGTTTTTCAACCAAAACGCAACAGAGTAAATAACAGAAAACGATAGTGTTTAAAATTGTATTGAAATTAGTCCTACTTTTTGACATCTTATTACTTAAAGAAAAAAAAATCCCTAAAACTAAACTAGCCAGCCTAACATTTTTGTTTGGTGCACACATCTCTTTTCATCCAGCTGGACATGTGCCTTATGTGTCCTTATTCTTGATTTCATTCTTAACGTATATAAACAGAGCCGCCCCGGGCTGTGACAGGGAGAGTGGTTTAGTGTGTCGGTGTTAAACACAATCTTGGGAACACACCCAGACTAATAAGACTGGTCCGTCTTGCCTCTCATGTGCTCTTTTCCTCTCCGTTTAGCCATACAAGCCTCATAGTGATCTGGTGTGAGCACTTTAGCAGATGTTACCAAACCTGCCTTCCATTTAATTTGTATTTTTATTTTAAAAAGATGAATTTATGTGGTTAAGTACTGTTCCTCTGTGGTAGCACAAGCTGCAAAAACTCCATTTACAAAAGAACTATGTAGCTCTACCTTGCCGGTGATCGCCGACCAGACTTTGAGTGTGTTGTCGTCGGAGCCGCTCACAATCAGGTCGCCGCTGAACTGGAGGCAGGTGATGACGTGATCATCGTGACCTTTCAGCACCTACAGAGAATTACAGAGACCTAATGACCCTCCCATGTCCATGATTCCTCGCCCATTACAGGAGCTGGCGTTTTATAGCATTTCAGTCTACCATGGGCTCCCGTGTGTCCCCCTTCCTCCAGTTGGTCTCAATGCGATGCTGTCTGATGTAGGTAGATTTCCACGGGCTGACCGCTGGTCGCACGCACTCTCTACGACGATGTGAAACACACTCTGCGATACCTTAGGACAAAAAACAGAAACCAATAAGCTTAGATCAGCGACTAGCTTTGAAGCTATGAGGTAGCCTGACTGTAACATGAGCAAACAATAGCTTAACTAATGCTATCCAAATATACCCTTGCATACAAATAACCCTTGCCGGTAATTCCTAATAAAAGCTAAATAAGTTGATACTTATCTGTAGTTGAATTAGCACCATGTAAGCTACTGTTAACAACTATAGCATCACAGTAGCATTTCATATTGTGCGTGGAGAAGCTTCTCTTTAATTTTTGTTGTTGGTAAACATTCCGTCTAGAGTCATTAGTATGTAAGTGGAGCGCCGCTGATGAGGGCTAGCTGCATTTGTATTCTCTCTGACAGTGCTCCCATTGGTATAGCGGGGGGGTTAATAATTAGCCTTATTTATGAAGCTGGTGAGCTGCAGTTAACACTGGCTTCATTAGTATGGCTGTGGTGTGGTGCTAACGTTAGGTAGCTTCATTGGTATGGCTGCTGAGTGCTGGCGGTGATTCTCTGCAGACTGGCAGAACGCCCAGATGCGCACACACACACACACACACACACACACACACACACACACCCTCTCAGGCACTGCATTGCGCTGAATGAATGAAGAGTGACAGACCGTGCGTGGCTGTGTTTGCACGTTACACTCAGGTCAAAAAGCACTTTACATCCACTAAGTTCATCCCTCTGTTTGTATTTGGTTTAAACATACTTCCTCTGTGAAACACACCTGCAGGGGCCCTGCTCGGGTGACGTGAACCCACAACTCAAAAACTCCAGTTTTACATCATTTCACAGGATGATTAATGACAATCTGGTGCCGGCCAATCCTTTAGAGGTACTTAACCACCCACAAAATGAAACTACTTCACTAACCTCCTTCATTATATTAATTCATTCAATTATATTTTCAGTGAAATTTTATCTGTGGATACTCCAGTGTGCAAATGTGCTACACTTGAGTTGTAATGATTAGCTGACCAAGAGAAAAATAAACCGTTAGAGGAACAACTAATTGTTTTGGTAATCTTTAGAGGCTGTAACACATGAAAAACTATTGATCTCCCTCCTATTACACAATGATAGATTTGAGGATTTTGAGGATTTAGGCTGTATTTTTACAAGATATAAACTATCTCTAATGAAAGCATCAAAAAGGATTCTTCTGAGACTGTAACAACTGTCACAACTACCGAAAAAAAGCAGAGTAGGACAAAACACGGGCGAACCCAAGTGAACATAGCTGGTGACCATTGCATTGTGTATCTAGGTGGAAACGTGTTCCATTGTTTACCGTCTTCACGGCACTTTTCCCTCCAGAGCAGGTTGTCCTCAGCCAAAATCCTCCAGTACCTGCAGGTCTGGGCAGCCTGCAGCAGGTCTTTGGGAGCCAGGAAGGTCAGCACGTACAGGGCGAGCTGCGGGCAGGACATCAAACGCCACCATAAAACAATGCCCTGCGTCAGCCATGCTCTCTGTCTCTGCTGTTGCTTTGTTCTGTTGCTGTACCTCTTTGGGCAGCAGTGATATGAAGTCTCTCTGGAACTGAGGCTCGATGACCTGCATCATGTGCTTCACCTGACTGGTCTCGCACCTGTCGATCAGCTCGTCCAGAGCCAAAAGCCTCTCTGGGCCGCTCCACGTCTGTGGGAAAAGAAAAGGTGAGAGAGGCTTTTTGAAGGGTGCCACAAAGCTCTACTTTGGACGTTGACTGCCCCTTTTTCTATTCTCTGTCGACATGAGCCCAGTCCCATTCAATAATGTTGAGTCCCGGGCTGAATTTAAGTCCATTTCCTTGTGTCGTTGGGCATCTCTAAGCTTATCTAAGCGTTTCTCTCTAAGAATGGGTGGCTCCACCCTTCTGCTGAGGCTTCAGTGATGGATCAACTGAGGATCCATTTCAGCTCCGGTGTTTAGTTTTTGCTTGATCGATTTCAATATTTCTTTAGCACAACACTTTCAGATAGGTCATCTTTCTTTCAGTTGAGTTTAATTGGTTTTTCTAACCTTCCATTCTTTTTCTGTTTAGAGTTGAATGTTTGTCTGTGACTGAACTCTTTTCTTTGGATTCTTATTTTGTGTCTCGCTCAGTGTTTCAGACTGTCAAATTGTTTCTCTCCCCCCCTGAAGCAACAAAAGTGAGGTTGGTGTTTTTTCATTTGGACGTGTGTGCATATGCTTCTTTTTATGGCTGCGTTTGTCCTTGGACATTTCTTTTATAAGCTGAATAAGGACAGCTTGGAGGCTGCACTCTGCTGCCGCTCTGTTTATGTGAAGAAAGCAGAAGATGCACTTGCACACAAACACAGACATACAAACACACACACACTTAACCGAATGCAGCGCATGAAGAAATGCGGGTGCATTGTACAGTGCTGCAGGACAGGAGAGGTGGTGTAGTAATTCTTCTCCTGGTGAGTCATGTTAGCCTCTCTACGGTCAATCTTTTAGAGCTGAATGTCAATGAGCTAATTATGCTTTAATTGACAGAAAGCATTTGCTTCCACATTAATAAATGGACAATTGAGGAGTGAGTTGGTAAATAAATGCTGAAGGCTAACAATGACGCCAGCTAACCTCAGGGTTACATAAAGTTAAAAGTTAAAATACACCTTTTGGAAAAAACTAACTTGTTACATTAACTGACTGTAAATATGGTAAAAATATTTTTCCTCGATTATGAGAGAGGGAATAGGAACATTGTCCTGTTCAGCCTTATGGCAGCAGAACTGAAATCTGAGTACCGTGCTATGCTGAACACATTTGCTTTGTCAAGGGAGGCTTAATTGGTGAAAAGCCCCCCTTGACTATCCCACGCTGCTTTATTTATTTTGCTAAATTTGATATACATCCAATAATGCTGAACCTAACAGTGAGACAGGGAAGAAAGAAGAGCAACGGAAAGCAAACCCTAAAAGGAGAAAGATCCTTTGGACAGAGAGAGAAAGAAAAAAGAAATGTACCTGGAAGGTGTGGAGCCAGTCCTGCAGGCCAGACGGGGGCGGGCCGGAGGTGACGCGTCGCCTCTGAGCCGAATGCCCATTGGCCAGCCGCAGGTCCCCAAATGTGGTGGGCGTGGCCTGAGCCAGACTGGAGGGACTGCAGAGAGGGGCGTAAAAAGGTTGCCTTTACTTCAGATGTTGCGCCTGGGATCTGAAAAATTCCGACTTCCTTGTTGAAATGGAACACAGCATTAGCATTTGTGATTGCTGATTTAAAGGCAGCGCTGATTGTTTTAAGTGTGGGCGTGTTTGCTAACTAAACTGACTTTACTTTTATTAATGGTTAGCTCTACACAGGCTGCTATCTGCTGTTGTGGGGATGTCATTTAAAGACCCCCTTTCTGTAGCTGCGTGCTTAATGTGCAGCTTATGGGCTGTGGTGACATCTTAAGGCTCCAATTACAAATAGCAACCAAATAAATGGAGCTCTCCCAGTCTTAGTTTTTTTTTTTGTTTTGGCTTAGTTTGTGCCTTTTGACTACTGCAGTAAACATTGTCGCATTTTTCTGCCAAGGGATAGACCTTTTGAGTTGTGCTGAAGTCGTAACACGTGTCTGGTATAAGCATGGAAACATTTGCTGATGCTGTGGATTTGATCCCGTTACCTGAGGTACCCGCTGCCTTTGCAGTGCTTCTTCCCCGAAGGGAACGGCCGGCCGTCTGGACCGTGATCCAGCTTCCTTTTCATCTAATCACAGAAACACAGAGATAGAGGCAAGAGTTCAGAGGTGGTGACGATCGCCCATATTGGAAAGCGACCAAATAAACTGGACCTATTAAGACAGGACAAAGGCTTTTGGAGGGGTGTTTGTTTGGAACAGATTGTTGCTTCAGACACAGCTAATTTGTCAGTCTAACTCACTCCATTTAAATGAAATGGTTATATATGGAGCTCAAGCCAATAACAACGCTGAATTAAATGGAAGAACTGTAACAGTCCATTTCCATTTCAGTGTGAACACCCACACTTGCTGCAAGAGATTGTGAAATGGAGCTCTGAGTGAAGATGACAACACAAAATGCTCAACTTCTGAGTGATTTGAGCTAAAAACTCATATATCTCAGTGTTAATGTGCACTTAAAGGCAAAAGCTAGGTGGTATAAGTCTATTCAGAGACACAAATGAGCCACTGTTTGATGAAACTGGTAAGAAAAAACTAACCTTTGGGCTTACATCTAAACAAGTAAGAGAAAAAAATGAGCAGGGATTGAAATGGAACTAACTTATATGCCCGATCAGTCCCATAAGTCGGTTTCAACATTCTGAACTACACAAAGACTGGTCATCTGGGCACAACATGCCTGGGAAGGAAATCCGAAACATGGTTCCGCTCATGTTTGTGGCTTTCTGGGACGTCCCTGAGGTCAGAGGAGACCAAACATTTGTGACGGAGTCCAGGCTGACGAGGAGGAGCAGATAAAGTGCAGGCCTGAGCTGAGCCGCAGCGGGGCTGGAAAAGCCAACGCTGTGAGGTGGCACAAAGGTCTGAATCAGCCCTCTATCTCTTTCCTCTGTGGGGCTCTTGCAGTGAATGAATGCAGGAATGCAGAAAATCGGAGGAATGTCGCCGGTGCAGCGTTGGTCTAAAATAGAGCACGAGCTAATGGGCTGCTACACACACACACACACACACACACAGAGTGGACAGAATGTGTGTGTCCTCTTCCTGGATGTTTCAGTCTGCTGATTATCAGTGAAGTAGGAGAGTTTGATTCATTCACAGCCTCGTCCTGTAATCTCCCCCCCCCTCCCCCCCCTCCCCCCCCCTCCGAAGAGCCTCCACATCTCCCCCCCCCCCCCCCCCCCCGCATCTGATGGCCCGCCCCCACAAAA